TTCTCCCAATAAATTAAAATTTTCTTAATATGTCTCCTTGAATCTAATGTAGGGAAAAATTAACCAACAAAATTTTTTCAGGCAGTTTTTTTTTGCAAATGCCTTACTTTAATTTATTTTGCAAGTTTATAAACAATTTGACACATAAACAGCTAATTTTGTTATTTTAAAATATAAATTCTTTGAAAGAAATATATGCGGCCTGGTGCTATTTAAATTTAATTTGTATGTTCCGCAATCTTTTCAAATTTCGAAAGTATACGGATAAATAATGAGATCATTCATATATTTTAACAACCTTCGGAGAAATTAACAATTCTCAGAGAGACGCTCCAGATTAGTTTCATAAATACGCGGAGTGAAAAGTCATAAAATCAGCAAACGCCGCACGCACGTTACATTCTCCTGCCATTGTTTGCACTTTGTTTGCTTTGCTTGATGACTTGCGACTGCCAACAAAAGCAGTGAAAGGAACGAATATAAATTGTTATTGCTGATAATGATTTCGATTCAATCAATCTCTAAAATTGCAATAGTTTTTTGATGCAACAAAAAAAAACAAGAAAATTTATATGTTGACGTCATAGGTTGTTGTCTAATTAAAAGAAATGCAATGTGGTGACGGCGATGACGACGCAGATCGCCGCGAAAAGTGAGTCATTACGGTGTCGGTTTTCGGCGAGACGAATGTGCAACAATGACTTTCCGAACTGGCAGTAATTACACGCGACGGCATTGCTCTTTATGATTCGGCAAATATTTGACAATGGAATTAGCTTGGCCTATTGTTGCGAAATGATAAATGAGGCAAGGACGTGACCTTCGTACTCAAAAGGGTTTACAAGAGAAATTAGCAAGTGTCATTATATAAAAATCGCACGAAAGATTAAAAGTCTGATGAATTTTCTAAAATTTAAAAATTCACATGGAGTTTCTTATTTTTTAGTATTACTTTTTGTAATTTATTAAATAGAAAATTATTAAAAGCATTTCGCGCGTTTCCCAACTTTTAATCGTTAGACCTTTTTGCACATTATGAGGAGCTAAATTACTTTCATCGCTACAGCTAATGAAGCTAATAATCGCCTTCTGCGTTAAAAGGCTTTCTTTCTTTCTTTCTTTCTTTCATTCAGCCCATTGATCACAATCAAAAGTGAACAGGTGCGGCTTCTTTAACCTTTTATCTGTTGATCCGCTTATACTGAGAACGGCGGAGGATTGATTCGCAATTTGCTACACTTTGGTTTTTCTCCAGGAAATAAAACTATATTTTTTGTAAATAACACTTTCTATACAGACAAAAGATTATAAAAAGTCAACTTTAATAAAAAAAAAAAAACACAAAGCACTCTATACTTTTAAGGAGAGGTGTGATTTGGAGAAGAAAGAAAGAATCAAAGAAAGAAAGCGTCCGTCGCGAAAAGAAACTCGATATAATTGCATATGATTATTGTAGATATGCCGAACGTAAACTACATAATAATCAAGCAACGCGCCAGAGAGGCATTTCGCGCCAATTTCTCTTTTGCGATGAACGGCGGCGACAAATGAGAATTAATTTTATTAAACTTAAAAACTTCTCAATAAGATTAATGTAAATTTTTATGTTGACTGACCAATTGATTTTGTTTTTCCACCTTAATTTGAGTGATTAGAACGTGATTTTGTCAAATTTTTATCAATCCAATTTTGAGAAACAAAAATTATTTTAGTTAACAATATTAAATTTAAAAAAATTCAGTTCTCCTGATGACTTAAAAACAAACCTAATGTAGAGAAAAATTACCATTAAATTAATCAGGACGTTTTTTCCCAAGAAAAATCCTCTCTTAAATTCATCAAAATCAATATTATAATTTTTAATATTATTATATTTTTTATAAATGAATTATTATTAGATATAGAGGCGTGAATAGATTTCTAAAATAAATAAATGCTTCACGAAATGTGCATTGACCGTATCTAATTCTCATTGTCATTCGATGCAAAATGGTTTGCTAATCATTGAAACAAAACAAAAATCGCGCGACGCCTTGAGCTTTTTATTCGGCTGATTGGGTCCGTTGGAGGATCGGCGGCCGCACCAGAAAGCGTGGTTGCCTGTGATGAAGGTCAAGATCCAGCAAACTTTCATTAAAAACCAACAGGAGCCGGCCGAGAGTGAAATTTTGAAAGAGAAAGGACCGCCGGCCGCAAAAACTTGTCGGCTCTGCACAAATTCGTGTGTTATTTGGTCGCCACCACGCGAGAGCTGCCGCGAATCTTTCTTTCTTTCTCAGCCTCTAGAAACATAATCAATTCATTCTTCTTCGCAGCCTAGATTTTTTTTATTGTAAATAGCCAGAGGCTCCGTTCGATTCGATTCAGACTGGAAGAAAAAACAATACAACAATAAAATAAAATAAAAGTGGAAAAATAAATTTTCCATGACAAAAGTGTAAATTGTTAAATGATACTTGGCAGATTTGCTCACAACTGATCATTTATAAATAAGAAATTGAGCAAATCTTTCCGCTTTTAACAATTATTTACACAGAAATGGTAAATTTTTCCAAACAAACAAAAAACAAGGATTTCCTTGTTCTCTAGACGCAAAAAGTCTTTACAGAATCAACTCTCGGTGCTAATTAGCAGTTGCAACGCGACTAACTGGATAGACAAATAAATATTACTACTGGTCTACTTAAAAGCTGCGGAACCTTATGGTGGGTCACCATGCACGGGGAAAATAGAGACGCGACCAGAGAGTGCACGTGGCGATGAATGAATAAAAGAAAGAAAGCACCTGTGGCTGAAACACTCACGCGAGACCAGAGAGATTTATATGAGAGACAAGACGACTTCGGTGTGGCCAAATCTGACCTCTGACTTTTCTCCTTTCTTTCCCTGGGGCAAAATTAACAAAATGTGAAGCATTCTTTGTTAAAAAGTTTATAGATAAAAAAGACAATTAGTCAACAAGGATGACAAATTTTTACATTTATTCCACCAAATTCCATCTCAAATTTGTGCAATATCCTCCACAAAAACTAACAGTTTAGGCCATGAGGATCATTTTTACAAATAGAAAATTGGGGGTCGACTCGTACATTTTTTAGAAAGGTATGATTGAAAGTTTGGTGGTTTTTTGCATTGTTCTCGTTTATGAAAAAATTAAGCTAATTTTTGAGCTCTTGGGATTAATTAATTTCCGGTAACAAATATCATCTTAGCTCATATTTTGCTTTTCAAAATACCGAAGTAATGAAAAATTCATATTCAAATCCAGGGTTTCTGAGCATGAGCTGCTCGCGAGCAAGATTGAGCAAAATTTTGCTCGCGAGCACCATTGAGCACTCCTTTAGTGAGCATGCTCGCGAGCAGATGCTTGCGAGCACCCCAAAAGGGAGCATGCTCGCGAGCAGATATAGGGGAGCACTCCTGAGGTGAGCAGGAGCAGGAGCAGAAATTAGGGAGCACTTTTTAGAAGTGAGCAGGAGCAGAAGCAATATTAACTAAAAATGCTCGAGATGCTCCTTCTGCTCACATTTGCTTTAAAAATTTTACTACAATAACAGAATTTCATACTAAATCTATACTGTATACTGTGAGATCAACAAAAACCAGTGGAGGACGCTTTAGAATCGCAATGCATTAATCCTATGCTCTGACGCTCCGCCTACACCCCTTTCAGCCCTGAGTTCGACCTGCTGCACCTTATGTGCTCCTGGCAAACCTTCAGTCCTCTAGAGTCTTTTCCGCTGTACATAATTTATAAAGAGCTCAATCTCCTGCTTCATATTTATGTGCTCCTGGCAACAATTCGTCTTTTTAAATAATAATGAAATTATTTTATGGAAACAATTTTATTATTTTAATTATATTAAATTTTTTTATATGGTCTTAATTTGGTATCAAATTGATGTATTTGAATTTTGCTAAATTATTTCGGCGTAATAAATATTCTTTCAGAATAAATTAAAAACCTACATGCCGAATTTTCATATCAAACATGAGCATGACACTGCTTGGGAGCATATCGCAGGAGCAAAAATTGCTCGGAGCAGCATTGAGCACTCCTTCAGTGAGCATGCTCACGAGCATCTGCTCGCGAGCACCCTGAGAGGGAGCATGCTCGCGAGCAGATGTAGGTGAGCACTACTGAGGTGAGCAGGAGCAGGAGCAGAAATTAGGGAGCACTTTAGAAGTGAGCAGGAGCAGGAGCAAATTAATTTGAGCACCTGAAAAATTTTGTGCTCAGAAACCCTGTTCAAATCTAATGTGGCCGCTGGAGATAAATAAGGGTTTACTAAAACTGCTGCCAAATTAATTAAGGAAAAGATTTTTTAATTTTCTCGGTAGGAGGTTGAAACTTATAAATCAAGGCATCTTTTCATAATGGTCACCAAGTCTCTTGGTCAAAAAACCCTGGCATAAGGTCAAAATATAGATTTTAATGCCCCTTCAAAATTCAATAAATATGAGATAGCAAAAATAAAAATTCAAAATTTTCAATTCTTTTGTTCAAGCCATTTTGAAAATATCATTGATTTTAAAATAGCGTTAGAATGACTGAAAATAGTCTGTTCTGAGGGGTTCAAAATTAGAATAATTGTTTTTTTTTTCAAATACATTGTGTGGGTTTTATGTCTCCAATTCAAAATTGACGAAATTTAAAAAATTACCATGGTTCCCATAAAATATTCTTGAACATCGATAGTCTATTTTCAATATAATCCTTGCCTTTCATTCTTAGACATTATTTATTGCATAGATTGTAAAATAAATTAAGAATTAAATTTTTCCTATTTTCAGTTTTTAAGAAAATAAAAATTGTCTATGTAATAAAAACATAATTGTTTTTGAATGTTTTCTTTCGTAATTTTCCAACGTTGGACCAAAACTTGTTGAAATTTTATAGGAAAAGAGGCCATGGCTTATAGGCCACCTTTCATTGAATCGAGTTTTTGTTTACTTTCAATTAATTTTTTTCTACTAATCGATTGTCATGTTTGTTGCAGGTGTCTTTATGAGCCGGAGGGAAGAATCGTGACGTAGGTTGGCCGCCCGTTGACCCGCCGCAATGGTGTTCGCCGTGTCGGTGGTGGTGGGCGCGATCAAGACGGCGACCGCGCTCGTCGGCGGCGCCTTCTGGTTTCTGCCGACGTTCATGCTGGCCTTCGCCTACTACAACTACGAACTGTTCGACCCCGAGAACCGGGTCATCAACGTGCAGCAGCTGCGCACCGAGTACGACTTCATCGTGGTTGGGGGCGGCTCGGCGGGGGCGGTGGTCGCGTCGCGCCTCTCCGAGATCGCCCAGTGGAACGTTTTGCTGCTCGAGGCCGGCGGCGACGAGACCGAATTGTCCGACGTGCCCATTTTGTCCCTCTACCTGCACAAGAGCAAGTTCGACTGGAAGTACATGACGCAGCCCACCAGCTCGGCATGCTTGGTGAGCACGATTTTTGTTTATAATTTTTTTCAAAGAAAGACCTACTTTTTAATTAGCTCCGTATGCATAAAAATTAGATTTCATACACGAAGGAAGCATGAAAATCGCAACTTTATTTATTTGGGATGGAACTGCTGGACCTTGGTTTCCGCGAAAGTGAAATTGTCTAGCGAAGTATCCCGTGGCATAGAGAAACCTACACATCTCGCAGAATAATTTAATAATGCCCCAAGTGTGCGCTTATATAGTTAGTGATTAATCACCATTTCTTTTAATGGCAAAGCAGGTTCTGAAAAAAAATACCTGCGAGCAAAAAAAACCAGCTGTGGTTGAAATGTGCTGTGCAAAGATTTAATTTTAAAACTACGTTTATAAAAAAAAGAAAATCATGAATTACGTCAAATTTAACTTTTAATTTAATTAATGAAGAATTTTACTGAAAAGTGTTGTTTTTTTTTGGCAATTTATCGCTTTTTAAATTTTAAATAACTTCCTTTCTCTCAGGAAATAATATGGTTTGTAATGGTAATAACTCTTGGTAAAATAGATTGAGAATTTATTGCTCATTTCAGAGAATTGCGCGCATCTGTTGCAGTCGTAAAAGTCTCCATTACGTTGCCGCCATCAAAATATTAGTAATTTAAAATCCCCAACAGAGTCGAATTTCAGCATCATCAAGAGCGATCACGAAAACGCGCAGGTGTTGAATAATACTTAATGGACTTAATGATTCAATTACTTTCGCGCGCTTTTGGCCTGTTGCCAAGATTTTGTTTATTTGATTAGCCAAGAGCGTGGGTGGCGCGGCTGTCAAGTTTATGTCACAATGTCAGGTTACATGATTGTGCGCCACGACAAAGACGGTCTCGTTTTGTTCCACCTGCAATTTTTTCTATTCAAATGACACGATTCCCAGGTTGCGATTTCAGTTGGATAATAATACGAGGTGTCAACTTGTTCTTGTTCTCAAAGCGAGGATAAAAACATTACACGTAATTTAATTTTAATTGCGTTTAACACGCAAAATTCATGGCTATTCTTAAAATAAATTGCAATTAAAAAGTGGAACTTCATCTACATTATACTTTTTTTTAAATTTATAACAAATTTTCACTTCTTCAATCCAACCCAAAGAATTAAATTCTCTTATGAAATCCTACATAATATTTTAAATATTGCAAACTTTTATAAGACATAATTACACAAATATAAAGCCTATCAATAAAATAAAGAAATATTTCAACGTTCATTAATATAGGTTTTTGTTAAATGTATTTTAAAATAATTACAATCTATCTTTATTTTGTTCTAGAAACTCTGATAATATTTAAAATAATAAAAAAAATTATCAAATCGTTTGAAAAATATCTACTAAAGCATATTTATAATTTATGATTTTTTTATAATACATTTCAAACTATGTCTTGCATACTAAAAATGATTGAAATTAACGAATGAAATTTGAATTTTGCAGGCGATGGAAGGGCACCGGTGCAGTTGGACGCGCGGCAAGGTGCTGGGGGGCTCGTCAGTGCTGAACACGATGCTGTACGTCAGGGGCAACAAGCGCGACTTTGACGAGTGGGCGTTGCAGGGCAACCCCGGCTGGAGCTACCAGGAGGTGATGCCCTATTTTTTGAAGTCGGAGGACCAACGCAACCCGTACTTGGCGCGCAACAAGTACCACGCGGTGGGCGGGCCGTTGACGGTGCAGGACGCGCCGTACAACACGCCGCTCAGCGTCGCCTTCATCCAGGCCGGCCAGGAGATGGGCTACGACCACGTGGACATCAACGGCCGCCAGCACACCGGCTTCGCCAACTTCCAGTACAACATGCGTCGCGGCTCGCGCTGCTCCCTGGCCAAGGCCTTCCTGAGGCCGGTGCGCCTGCGCAAGAACCTGCACGTGGCGCTCTGGTCGCACGCGACCAAGGTCCTCATCGACCAGCAGACGCACAGGGCCTACGGCGTCCAGTTCCTCCGCAACGGACGCATCCAGACCGCACTCGCACGCAAGGAGGTCATCCTTAGCGCTGGTGAGCCAATACTGATCACTCAAATCGTTTACACCCTTCATTAATTAAGGGTTGAGACGGCGAGATTTCACCCTCTTTTCCCGCCAAAATTATTTAAAACAAGATAAGTCCGTCTACAGTTAATCACAATATTTTTGTTTAAAAACTTGTACAAATTGAGATGTTATTTCTAATAATTTTGGCGGGAAAGGATACAATTCTATTTTTGAAACGTTTTATCACTTTTATCTCCATTTCACCATCAACCATGAAATTCTAGCTCATTTTAGCTCCTTTTAAATTATAAAAATAATTTCTGAAGACGGTCTTTAAGTTTTTTATTTCTACAAATTTAAACCTTTCCATTTTTTAGGAGCCATAAACTCGCCGCAGCTGCTGCTTCTGTCCGGCGTGGGCCATCAAGAGCACGTGAGCCAAATGGGCATCACCCCTATTCAGGATCTGCCCGGCGTCGGCAACAACCTGCAGGACCACATCGCCATGGGCGGCCTCGTGTTCAAGATCGACAAACCCGTCAGCCTGGTGATGTCGCGCACCGTCAACATCAACTCGGCCATGCGCTACGCCTTTTACGGCGACGGGCCATTGACCTCGAGCGTGGGCATCGAGGTGGTCGGATTCGTCAACACCAAGTACCAGAACGCGACCGAGGACTGGCCGGACATCGAGTTCATGATGACGTCGGCGTCGACGCCCTCGGACGGCGGCACGCAAACCAGAGTTGCGCACGGTCTGAGGGAAGATTACTACCAAGAGGTGAGTTGGCAAATCTTAAAATAACCAATGCTTCAGCCAAACAAGATTCGGAACAAATTCCAAACTGAATCTTTACCACTCAAAATTCTCAAAAACAAATGTTTATTCTTCAGTTTTACTTCAATGGTTTTAGAGTCCAGGGAAATTATTTTACAAAAAAATGTTCCAGACAAAAGTTGTAGACAATTTAATTCTGCACATTTTTTATATTCACCACTTTCTTCTAAATCAAATAGGAAACACGCTATAAAAGAAGGAATGTTGGAAAATGTGGTTTTCTTCACTTTTCACATGCACCGAAAACAAATATTTGACTTTTGCCCCTAAAATTTGAAATGCTTGCATAAGATTTCTCTAAATTGGCATGATCAGGCGATTTTGAGCATTCTAGGCCTGAATTTAATGTTCACCCATATAGTTAAAATTGAGCAAAAAAAAAAAAGAAAAAAAGAAAAAACATATTCTTCAACATTCCTGTTTTTGTGGCGTGATTCCTATTGGATTCAGAAGAAAGTGGCAAATGCAAAAGATATGTAGAATTGAATAAACTACATAGCCGACTTTTATTTCAATATTTGACGAAAAATTAAAGAAAATTCGGTTCTAATAATTTGGTTTTTTGCAAAAACTGGATATTATCCACATTTCTTTCAATTTTAATTCAAAATATATATTATTTTTTAGGTTTATCGCGAGATCAGCAGCACAGACGTGTTCGGCATCTTCCCCATGATCATGCGACCGAAGAGCAAAGGGTTCATCCGGCTGAAGAGCAAAAACCCAAAGGACTACCCGCTGATGTACCACAACTACCTGACGCACCCGGACGACGTCAGGGTGTTGGTGGAGGGGGTGAAGGCGGCCGTGGCCGTCGGCGAGACGCAGACGATGCGTCGGTTCGGCGCGCGTTTCCACCGAAAGGCGGTGCCCGGCTGCGAGAAGGTGCCGCTGTACACGGACGCGTACTGGGAGTGCGCCCTGCGCCAGTACACCATGTCCATCTACCACTACTCGGGCACGGCCAAGATGGGCCCGGCCAACGACCCCGAGGCCGTGGTCGACGCGCGCCTCCGCGTGTACGGCGTGCCCGGCCTCAGGGTCATCGACGCGTCCATCATGCCCACCATCACCAGCGGCAACATCAACGCGCCCGTCGTCATGATCGGCGAAAAGGGCGCCGACATGATCAAACAAGACTGGGGCGTCGCCATCAACGTCACCGAGTGGCATCCCTGAGACAATCTCGTCACTTATTTATTTGTGCAGACATTCATTTAGTGGCCAAAAATTACGCGTTTTAAGTTTTTGTGTTGTTTTAGATGTGATGGGGCTGGAATCTTTCGGCGTTTCAAATCATCGCTAAAATTAGAGTTTTGATTTACTGGAAGTTTCTAGTTCCTTTTAAGACCCACTTTGGTGATTTTTATTACTCTTTATTCTGAAAGGTTGCCAAATTTTTAGATTATATTGTAAAAATATTTGTTTATATTCCAAACTTTTGAGAGTCGCAATCACAAGAAAACCTAATTCAAGTGAAAAAAATAGAAATTTATAATTTAGGCGGTTTGGTAAAAAACTTCAGCTTTAGGTCACTGGTGGCGCTGCGATCGCTGATTATTGCCAAGTTTAATAGAAAAATCAGCGACCGTAGCACCGCCAGTGACCAAAAGCTAAATATTTTTGACCAAACTTACTAAATTCTCATAATTTTCGCGCAAATTACTCAAATTAAGTTTTCTCGTGGTTTTCACGCAACGATTTGGAATTTTAACATAATCTTTTTACAAGATATACTCAAAATTTAGCAATTTTGTAGAATAAAGTGCAATAAAAATCATTTGATTGGGTCTTCAATTATCATTGTTTAGAGTAAAAACGTGTTGAACTACCTTATTTTTCTACTTAAGATGCGACTGAACTAGGCGTTGTAGATTCTTAATAGTTTTGTAAACTACGACGTGCCTTTTTGACGGATATTTAAGCAGGAAATCATCAGGTGCAATTTTTATTGTCTATTTAAAACTCCTTGGAATTTTGTTAAATTTTGTGCCAGTGGCGTCTACTGCGGGCAGTCGCGAGATATGAAAGCGTTCGTCTACTTTCTTACGCGCGCGCATTTTGGCAGCGCCTTTCATTATCATACACGCGCGAATTGAAATTAGCAGGTTTATCTCGCACCGTCCGTGTGAATCTTAAAGCGGCACTTTCCCTCTTTTTCTCCAACTAAACCGATCAAATTTTAGTTTCCGAGAATTAATAAAAGCTCAAAACTTTTTTTAATTGTGTCAAGTTGGGTTCTTCTTTAAAGTGTCAAGGCTCGTTTAAATTAAAAACGATCCTCTTGAATTATTACAAATGAGACATTGATTGATTGTTTCGATGAAAAATTCGTTTCGCTCCGTAGACGCCATTCGCCACTTTCATAATAACGGAGGTGTTGTTTCGATTTATGTTTCACCTGTGCTGTGACGCAACCGATAAAGCCATTGTTGCGGCAATTCCATAGACGAAGAAGTATAACATTAATAACGATCCAAATGAAATCGCGGAGCCCACAAATTTGAGTTTCAATTGTTTCCATCTCGAAAGAAGATAAATGCGCGCAATCTGCTCTTGAAAGATCTGCACGATTTGTCAATTGGGAAAAAAAACAACTAAAGGCATTTTAACAACGCCATCGCGAGGTGTTTCATTGTAATAAAAATAAAAATACAACCCTATTAATCATTTATTAATAAAAAATACTAAATAATTCCTTGTTTTCGGCACAAAACAATAGAGATGGAAACCATTGATGCAAATATACCGATTTTTTGCGTACGTCATTTTTATTTTGCACCGTGTGCATCATTTGGCAAATGAAAGTTTCAGTAGATCGTGCCGCGCGATTTCTCTCATCAACTGGAGCTGTGCTTTTTCAATTACTTTTTTTTACAAAGTTAGCTGGACAAGTGCAGCTCATTTCTCCTTAATCCCCGAGTACATAAACTGCCGCAGATGTTACAACAAACTCGCTTCGTTTGTATAATAATAATTTGATAATCCTGCTGTGATGAATATTATACTTTAAATTATAAGCTGATTAAATATACTTTTTGCCACTTGAAACAATCGGCTAGAGAGAGTGTTCATTTGTGTGTGTGTGAGTGAGCAAGTGCATTAAGCCTCCATTAAGGGAAAAGTTGGCATAGTTAATTAATTAAATAGTACGAATCGCTCTCGGCTAGAGTGCACAACATTAGATGATAATGGCCTGCCCTGGGAACTTCCTCTTTGCGTGTGTGACTATTACGAATGTTATGCAAATTGAACAAACAAAATTAAGTGCCACGTTTGAACAAACTTCTATAAACGCTCACATACGTCTTGTATTGATAATCATGTTATTTTTATTGTATCTATTCTGTGTGAATAATATATGAAAACTTTGTAAGAAGAAGTGTTGGGTGCAGTTTTCTAATAAAAACGTGCAGAGTAAAAATTTTATGCGTTTAATTCTTCTCCACAATCTAAGATTTAAAAAAATCATGAAATGAAAAACGAAAAAATTTCCAAAATGTTTTGCGTGTAGAGGATCCACTGATATAGATACAATTTTGCGATTCGCCACGCACATACACAAGAGCAAATTGGCTAAAAAAAAAACAGAGATGATTCAACACTAATTCATAACCAAATTTTCACGCTTTCGATTTGTGCTATTTTTATACTTTTACTAAAAAAAAGTACAATTTAATGGAGACATCCTCAAAAAGTTCCCTCAATTTTAATTTTTTAAATTAAGATATTTTAAATTAATGCCAATTAAAAAATAAACATCAATATAAATTGCTATTTTTACCAATAATTATTTGTGTAAAATTTGAATAGTAGTATTTTTAATCATTTCATTTTAAAATATCTCCACATTTCAATTTATTCCATTTCTGAATATGTTAAGCGTCGCGTCCTCTATGTGTCACTGAGCGAAAACTTTCCAACTCCGCTTTCACCGGAGATGTTTTAGTTCATAACCATCCCGACAGGTGTAAGTCATGGTTCAATCCCGTCGAGCTTTGCCAAATTTCTTTCTTTCTCTTTGCCATAAATTTATTTATTCTCTTCAATGCCGAGATTGCTTCAAAAGCGCTTTTGACTTTCAATTCCTGCACATCCAAAAGCTTTTGAAAGCAAGATCTGTCTGCCTCGCGGTGAATTCAGTTAACGACGCAAGTCTTGTCTGTCAGTACTTACGGTGAGATGAAAGTGCAGTTAAAAGCGAGATCTTACCTGGAACACAAGTAAAGTACACGTCGAATGAAAAGGACGGTGAAATTCCACAAAAGAAATTATTACACATGAAAGTGAAAAAATCAGAGGTACATTGAAATAAAAAAAATTGACAAAATGAGAGCAATAACACCGCAAGCCATGACCTATCTCAATTTTAATTCAAATTTTCTTATCGAAGTTAATCTATTATTTTAAACAGCTTAATTTCTTCGCAAGCACTAGATTATTATAACTCAACAAATAATATACATTTTTATTCAATTAAAACTCAATTTGTTTATTTTTCTCCAAACAAGTCAGAACAATCAATTGTGCAAAATTGGTTGGGAGAAAATAGGCTCACAGTGCTAGTGAACAACTCAAAAACTCATAGCCCGGGCCGCGATAAATACCAAACTACTCGCCGCACTGCAGCCTAAACTACGGGAAAAATATTTATAATCCAATCTGAAGTGAGATAATTCCCAGGCCGCCTCTCCCAAATAATCCGCATCATAATTTAACAAAGAAGGTCTACTTAGGTGCTGGCTTAGAACGCACAATAGTTTATGTGATAGTATCGCTCTCATAAATGCGTAGAGTAAATAATATGTTGTTAGGGCTGACGGTCTCATTTAAATGAGACAAGGTGATGGCTGTGATGAGTTTTTAACAAAATAATATAAATATAGTATAATTCATTGCTTCTATATGAAAATAATAAACAGGACCGATAATTATTTTTATTGTTTAATTGAGAAACATAAGAACAATAAAAAAATATATCTATATTAGGAAATACCAGTATCAATTTTCACTGCAATATGCGGTGGAAACAAATCAAGTTTTTATATAAGAATCAATAATTGGTATTATTGATGGAAGTTGTGTTGATGAATAATGAAATGCAAGGCACGAAAATAAACCAAGCACGAAATCTGGGAGTTCAGCCACGATCAAAAGCCGCTCTTTTAGCCAATTTTAAGTCTCTTCAGCTTTATCTTGCTTAATCAAACAAAAGCGTGACCGGGCAACTTCTTAAATAATTACTGGTTTTTCAGATAGCGGCTGTGAAATGGACAATGCATAAAACGCCTCTTAGTCGGCCAATCTAAAGAAATTTTATCCTTATATTATTCAATTGCACTCATGACCGAGTGACTTTTTAAAATAAAAAAGCTACATGGGCAGGCAATTTAAAGGCGTTTAATCCTTATATTATTCAATTTTAAGCATGACCAAGTGACTTTTTCAATAAAATGCCTCTTTGGCAACCAATTGAAAGGCTATTTATCCTTGTATTATTCAATAGCAAGCTTGACCGAGCAACTTTTTTGATAATTTTATTTATCAATGAAATCTGGGGGCTTTAGCGCTTGGTCATTATCAAAAGCTGCTCTTTAAGCCAATTTTAAGACTATTCATCAATAATTAATTCATTGCAAATGTGACTTTTTCCACACGATTAAGAGCATGAAATAAAAGCCTGTATCTGCGGTTAAGGTAAAAGGCAAGAAACGCAACTAATATCGAAAGAAAAGAATATCAATTTTCTTCTACTTTGCATTATACTTTTTTAGTTATTTTCTTAAGTTAATTTTATAATTTAGAAGTATGAATTTATCACCAAATGCAAAATAAAATATGAATTACAAATACCGTGCCTAAAAAGTTGTAATTACATTAAAAGTATAAATTTGAGGTACTTCTAAGAAATTTTATATCCATCGAAATTACGATTGTCTTAAGATAGATCAGTGGAAAGGAAGAGTGGATTTGTGTGAATTGTCACTTGGGTCTTGGGACAAAGATCCCCATTTGTTCGCCCCTGCCTGTGCTTTCGAGTGACTTTCACTGCAAATGCAGTGGTCATCGCGAGCATCGACGGCGGCCGTGATCAGCAGCAATAATGCGGCGATAAGGAGAAAGGAGCGGGACAAGTTGAGGTTCAAGAGGAAAAGTGGCGTCGGCCGAGCAACCGGATGACGCGTTTCAGGTCCCTGCACCGAACGCTCCGGTCGCTCCGCAGAAGCGACTCGAGGAGAAGGGCCGAGAGAGTTTGAGGGGAAATTGTTCAAGATGGGTCGACAGACACCTTCGCGGCAGAGAAATTACTCCATCTCGTCTGAAGTGAGCTGCGAAAAGTTCTCAACTCTGCCTTGTTCTGCCCATTTTTCAATTGACTCTTTCCGGAAAAAAACCAGCAGTGAACAGTTCAAAGGTTAGTACGAGTGACCTTGACCTTTACTTGAATCAAAAAATCACAATCAATTTTTTGCTAGCAGAGATAGAATGAGAAAGGATAGGTGCTAATTTGCATTTTATTGTGGTGAGAATTTTGAGCACGCGCCTCTCCTTTATTAAAAAGACATTTTCAACTGCATCGTTGCAAATTAGCTCAGTAAAATATTTATTTTGATTTAGAGTGTAAATAATTACAGAAAAGCAATGGTTTTAAAATAGTTTTCAATTGGGAAGTTCAATTTCAGGATGGTGTTTTTTTTATTTAAGCTTTTTTATCTGTTAATAATTAAAAAATAGTAAAAAAAAGCTAATTTTCAAACTTTTTACTCTCACAGATACAAAGAAAGTTTGTAAATTCTATTAAAAGATTTTTAAATTTTAAATAATCAATAGCATTTTTAGGTTTTTTCCTGAATTTGTGCAATGAAAAGATTAAAAAATATCCATCAATAAAATTAATTGTATAGATTGTTTATTATTAACAGCTGATCTGGACATTTTCTGATAGTTTAAGGTCTTGTTTAATTTTCCCAAATAATAAAACAAAAACAATAAATATTTACTCTTGAATGATGCCAATACCTGAGTTTAAAATTCGAATTATTGAGCTTGTTTTTTCTTCTTCAATTTTTCAATAATTTATTTTTATTTAAAAGTTTTCAATCCTTTCATAATATTTGAGCTTGCAAAATTTCTTGCTAATAATACCACTTTTTCTTGAATAGTCACGTTTATTTGTGGTTAATTATTTTTCATCGACCAACATATTTCTCCGTTGGACAAAAAACCATTAGTCAAAAACGCGCCTGGCCGGACCACCATGTAATAAATAATTGTGACCTGGAAAGATACTTTGAACGCTTGGTTCCATTAACCCATTTTCGACCGATCTTCAGAACATAGCTGTAATTTGTGAATGCATTCCTTGAATGCAGGAAATCCGAAAATTACATTCGGAAGCGCAAGCTCGGTTTTCTTAGCTAATGGCAAAATCTTCCTCAACGCCTTTCACCGAAAGCAGTCACGACCTGCTGCAAAATCAGTACAAAATGAGATGTGCCTATTTAAAATAGCCGCACGTGAGAGATTCAAACGCGCGATTATTCGAAAATGAAGCGATAAAACGGCGGAATTTCGCGCCTCCCTTCAATTTATTTCTTCTTCTCTCCACACAGGAGAATGAATGAAATTCTGGTGGGTTGGTAATTTGAGTATTACTGCAATTTTCGGGGCGTGCGAGAGACGAACAAACTCTCCATTTGTGAGGAGGACCGGCCTTTTTCTCTCGTTTCGGAGAGAAAAGTAAATAGGCAGCTTCTTCGCCTGGTGTTTTTTCGGCTCGATCGACGTCGGCCTACTTTAAGAGTCAACACGCTGGAACGAGAAATTAGCTCACTTAATCAAACAGTGCCGATCACGTACGTGCAGCGGCGCACATCAAACCACCGACATTAGTTTTCTTTATTGATATTTTTCATTAATTTTCTTTCATTCTCATCGATTTTCCATCAATTTGTTAACTTATATTTTGTTTTTAACCCGATGTCAACTGCCATTTTGTGTTTTTATTAAAATTTAAGTATAAATTATCAATATAAAAAATTATATTATAACAATATAATTTTAAGAAAATCTAGCATTTCTTCTTCAAATTATTCAATTTTGAATGGAATGTAATAAAACCTACTCAATTTTTTGGCAAAAGACTCGATTTCTAATTTATAACTCATTATTAAGTCGTTTGTACTTAATTTTAAAATAGTATTAATTTCAAAAAGGCTTGGTTATCACGTTGAAACATAGACTGACCTGCATCGGAATCAAAAAGCGATCTGGATAGTTAACTGGTTTTCAACATACCTGCAACAAATAAAAGGAAAATGATTAGAAACAATTAAAAATCTATTACAGTAAATTACAAAACAAAAAATTATATTTCATTAAAAAAGTGACAAATATATAAAATTAAACTTTCATTTAATCTAAAGTAGATGAAACTTCCTACCAATTTTCTTTAATTCTTCAATTTTGAATTGAACCCAATTAAATGCCTACTCGATTTGACTGAAATATGTTGAAAAAAGCCTCAATTTCTAATTTTCAATTCATCCGAGAATATCATTTTTAGTTATTTGAATGCTAATTAATAAATACAAATTTTGAAATTCTCAACAAATGACATTTGATGCAAATTGCTCTTTTAACAAAACCTCTTTTCTATTTTCAACAAGTATCAATAATATTATGCTTGAAAAAAGTACCAACTTATAAAATAAAAGATGCCGAGTCATAGCTCGGAAAGAAAGCGTGTGTGTGTGTGTGCATCTGAGTTTGTTTCCTTTAGGAACGCATCAAACTCATTCTTGTGCGGCACAAACGGCTCCACTTTTCCGCGGGCTGTGTTACACACTTTGAAGGTCACCAGGACGCATACAAAAAGATGAATGGGGCGTAATTAAATTGATTACAAAACCGCCGTTAACAAAGCTAGATAGAGAGAGGAAGGAAATAGAAATTATCTTTGGAAGAAAGAAAGAAAGCGAACAATGCTGTGTGCGCCCTTAATTAGCATACATAAGAACGGCGCCTCAAACGACGTGTTACGAGAAGGAATTCAAATTTGGATTAATTGTTCTTATGCAAAAAATACTCGTAGGACTGCTGACGTCAATTTCCTCTCTTGTTACTCTTAAGAATTACTTTCTATTCCCTTGCAAGTGCGAAATTTATTTTTCACCGGCGCCTTCACTTGTCTTGCAAGAGAGAAAATTTAAAAGTTAAAAGTATAGTCATCATTCAAGTCATTATGAAGAGAGATTCTTTTATCTTTAGCTGATCAATTCATAACAATTTAATTTTTATATTAACAAACAATTTAAAAAATATTCAAGAATTTTGGTTCTAGAATTAAATTTGTGTTCTTTTGAATTTTAAAATATATATTTTGCTTCATTTTAATGAAATCCAAATTCTTTTGTTAACGAAAAATTATCTTGTTGTTTCAGGTTGCAAAGATGTGGTGTGTGGCGAAAAGGTCGTTCGACCAGCAGTAGAAAATCGAGGTAAAATCGGTGCGCGTCTTCTTCTTTCTTTCTTCGCGCTCTATTTACATAAATTATTCCTGAACTCTCTCAAAATGTTCCTAAATCACCGTCGACATAATCATTTGAATCGTTTTTTTTTTATAATTTAGGCGATGAAAAATGGCGCTTTTGGCCCTTGGCGCAGGCATGTCTACGGCAATGGCTGGACTTTGGGCGCTGCCCCTGCTGATCGCGGGAATCGCCTACCACCGCTACGAGACCCTCGACCCCGAGTCCAGGGTCATCGACGCGTCCAACAAGATCAAGGACGAGTACGACTTCATTGTGATTGGCGGCGGCTCGGCTGGGGCGGTCGTCGCAAACAGGTGAGAGAAAAACTATAAAAAAAAACCGGGGTATAAGATTTCCTTTTTTTTTTAACAAAAAAGTCCTTTCATTAAAGTATGCTAATAAAAATAGGACATTTATAAATTATATTGTTAATTAGAAAAAAAAACTTTCATATTCCTTACTAAATAAACTTGCAAGTTTTTTCAATAAATAGAGTTAAATTTTTACATCAAATTTTTTCACAAATTTAAAAAAATTTTAATAAATAGTTAACAATCTGTTTAAAACTGTGATTTTATTGAATCAATGTAACATAAGTTATGAAAATGAATGATGTAAAGCGTGCAAGTGAAGCGGCATAAGTTTCATTTTCTATCCGGAAAAGGAGAACAGAAAGCAAAATCGTATTTCAATGTGTAAGACGCGACCTGTGCGAAACTGCACATTCTTTGATCGAAAGCGAACGAGAGAAGTGAGAGTGCGGTGTATTAATTATTTAATGAATTTGCATTCGTTACGTAGCGTGAACGACGCGAAAGTATGCAACGTGCCCGACAGCACTGCCGAGCAAGTTGTCGAAATCGCAGAGTTAGAATATTAAAGGAGATCTCGCGTTCCTGGAGATTTCTATAATATCATTTTATTTCGTTTCATAGTTTTCTGCTTGGCAATTATTTAATCAAATTGTTGCCTTAAATTAGGCACTTATGATATCTACACTGGGATTAAAACTTCTGAACCTTTTCCCCTAAGATCAATAAAACTCTCTTAAATTTCAAAAATTCAGTTCTCTGACTTAAATTTTTCTAACTATGTCTCCTTGGAACATCAATTAGCGTAAAAATACTATCAAAATTAATTGGGCTTTTTTAAATTTTTGTAAAATGAGGTGCTTACACTGATACAAATGAATGTAAAAATAATATTTTTTTTTAAATTCCAATAGAAAAGAATGTTAATCAACAAAACTTCAATTCTTCCAATGAATTAAATTTTTCTTGGAATTTTTTTTTATCTTCAAATCAAAACTAATTGTTCTGTATTTTTTATTTAATTGATTTTTTAATTATTGTTTTAAATTTCAGACTGTCTGAAGTTCCTGAGTGGAAAGTGTTGCTGATCGAGGCCGGGGGCGACGAGACGGAAATCTCGGACGTGCCTGGGCTGGCCGGCTACCTGCAGCAGAGCGAGCTGGACTGGCAGTACCAAACGTCGCCGTCTGAAACTTCGTGCCTGGCAATGCACAACCGGCAGTGCAACTGGCCCCGCGGCAAGGTGCTGGGCGGCTCGTCGGTGCTGAACGCGATGCTGTACGTGCGGGGCAACCGGCACGACTACGACCACTGGGAGCGCCTGGGCAACCCTGGCTGGAGCTACGACCACGTGCTGCCTTATTTCTTGAAATCCGAGGACAATCGGAATCCGTACCTGGCCAAGACGCCGTATCACTCCACGGGCGGCTACCTGACCGTGCAAGAGAGTCCCTGGCACACGCCCCTCGCCCTCACCTTCCTGCAGGCGTGCCACGAGCTGGGCTACGACAACAGGGACATCAACGGCGAGTACCAGACGGGCTGCATGATCGCGCAGGGCACCATCCGCAGGGGCTCCCGCTGCTCCACGGCCAAGGCCTTCCTCAGGCCGGTCAATCTGAGGAAAAATCTGGACGTTTCCCTCAAAACCCTTGTCTCCAAGGTCAGTTTTCACCTTTCAAAAGCTTTCTCCAGCAATGTTTTATAAAAATTGTAATTAAAAACTCTTATTTGACCATTTTTTCCCGCAAGAATGATTCAGATCTAGGCTTAATAAATTTAGGAATTTGATCGAATAAGCGATTTATCACTTAAAAACATTAAAATAAATTTGGCGGGAAAAGATTATTTCAATTTCTAACCCTTTTGAATGCAAAATTATCAAATAAAACTTCAAATTCAATCATAAAATTTTTTCCCACTTTAAAATTCAAGAATAAAACTAATTACTACAGAGGACCTTTAAATGTGCATTTCTATTTTTTCAGATTATTGTTGACCCAGTCACAAAACAGACGTTGGGCGTGGAGATTTTGCAGAAAGGCAAGGCCAAGCGTGCAGTCCAGGTGCGCAAAGAGGTGGTTCTGAGTGCCGGGGCCATCGGCTCGCCGCAAATCTTGATGCTTTCAGGCATTGGCCCGCCAGATCATTTGGCCCGCTTCAAAATTCCCCTGGTGCAAGCTTTGCCAGGCGTCGGCGAGAATCTCCAAGACCACATTGGGCTGGGCGGCCTCACGTTCATCATCGACAAACCCTTCACGTTCACAAAGGAGCGCTTCCAGACCGTGCCAGTCGCCCTGGAGTACATTTTGAATGAGAGAGGACCTCTGTCCACGCTGGGTGGAGTCGAAGGACTTGCATTTGTCAACACAAAGTATACCTATTTAGCACTATCTATAATTTTTGATTAATATTTTTAATATTAAAAGAGGGAAACTGGTAAATTTTCTACCCCTGATTGTGAAAAATGACCAAATTTCATGACAAACATTGAAATCTTTGAAAAAATGGTTGTTAAAGGTTCATTTTTTTCCCGCCAACCAAATTTGAACCTGAATAAAAGTTAGTCCAGATTGGAAAATCACTATAATAGAGTTTAAAAGAGTAAATTATCAGCTTCTAATCAGTACTTTGGACTCCTCGCCCAGATTCAAATGAATTTGGCGCGAAAACAATTTAAAGGTTTTACGGGTAGAGGGGGTCGAATTTTTCGATAGCAATTTCAACATTGGTAATGAAATTTGGCATTCTTTCGCAATCAGCAATGAAAAAAAATAGTAATTTTTTTGTGACACTCTTTAAATAACAATAAATAGGGTATTTTGGAATTTTCTTCAACAAATAACAAAATTTGAAATAAATCATTCCAGGTACGCCAACCACTCCGAGGACTTCCCAGACGTGCAGTTCCACTTCGCGCCGAGTTCAGTCAACTCTGACGGGGGCGAGCAAATCCGGAAGATCCTGGGAATCCGCGACATCGTTTACAACACCATGTACAAGCCGCTGATCGGATCGGAGACGTGGACGATCCTGCCGCTGCTGCTGCGGCCCAAGAGCGCGGGCACGTTGCGACTGCGCAGCCGCAACCCCCTGCACCACCCCAACATCCGACCGAACTACCTTTCGCACCCCGAGGACGTCTTCACGCTGATCGAGGGGATCCGCATCGCCATGCAAATCTCCAACACGACGGCCTTCCGCAAGTTCGGCTCGCGGCCCCACACCATCCCCATGCCGGGGTGCAAAAAGTACGCGTTCGACACCGATCCGTACTGGGAGTGCGCCCTGAGGCACTTCACCTTCACCATTTACCACCCCACGGGCACGTGCAAGATGGGCCCGGCGCGCGACCAGCTCGCCGTCGTCGACCACGAGCTCAGGGTGCACGGCGTCAAGGGCCTCAGGGTCATGGACGGCTCCATCATGCCCATGATCGTGTCCGGCAACCCCAACGCCCCCATCATCATGATCGGCGAGAAGGGCGCCGACATGGTCAAGAACGCGTGGTACCATTCCAAGGAGGACGAGGACATTGACGAGTTGACGCAAATCGTCGACTCGGACGACAACCAAAGTGTCAAGTGATTATTTATTAACATTTTGTGTAAAAAAAAACGTTGCTGGTGAAAATTGGACTTGCATGCGTTCTTGCTTGGGATTGTTGCAGACTATCAAAAGTACGTTAAGTTGTGCGCCTTGAAATTAAAATTTTATAAAATTGGAATATTTAAAGAAAACACTGCTCAAATAATTTAAGTCAAAATTTCCTAACTTGAACAAAAATGCTCATTAATAAAATTTTATTTAAAATAATTCACTGATTCATAAAGTTCAGTTTTGTATATGTTAAAACTTTTCAAATGTGGTTTTCACCATTTTTTGTAAATTCATCTCCATACCAATTGTATTCAGTGCTCAGGCTTTGGTTCAGAGTCGTGCCTGCTCTCACTCGCAGCCATATTACCAAAAGGCCATTCATCCATCGATCAGTCGAAAAGTGTTGTGCTCGCGACAAATTTTGTGAATTGCTTTCTCATCCGACAGACGATTGTGCCAAGTTGTTGATGCGCGACGGACGGATTGTGATGTACAGCCGAAAGTGTTAATAAATTTCAAACATGGCTCCGTATTTTGTACGCTAAGTGGGCATGAAATCCGCTCCGACAATAAATCATTTATTTAATCATATAGACAAAATTTCGCCTGGCAAAAAAATACCAAAGGGGGCGGGTCCAGAATGAGCTACTGTTTGTTTGCAAATTTGAGGTTTCGCCGGTCATAAATTATGCAAACAAAGGAAGGAATTATTTCTGTCTTTGGTCTTGGGAATTACGTAAACGCATTAACTTTCTTCCGAAAGTAAAAGTGAAGAGACCTTCCTTCCTTAATTCCGAGACAATCGTGCAGAGCTCGTTTTGATTCAATTTATATTTAATCCAGAGTGATTTAGTGCGCTCGAGATGAGAAACCTTGGATCTTGTTCCTGAACCGAACATGCAAATGAGCATAGGTGAGACGAAGAGAGTGGCCTTGGGCGCTGGGAGAAGAAAGTATTCCAAAGACCAGCGCCGCATTTCAGTGAAGAAACTGCACAAATTTAATTGAAATGCAGAAATATTGAAACTCGGCAGAATATTTTGGTTTTAATAAATATATAAATATATCAATTGAATTTAATACAAATTTCAATATAATAAGGAAATGGTAATTTGAAAATTTAAAACAATTATTTGAAATTTTCTGGCTCTGTCGCCGCTCTCTAGTGCATAGTCTGTCCGTTTGAGGTGACGTCACTGGAGAAAGTGATCTCGGAGCGGCTGCACCTGTTGGAGCGAGCGACCTTAAAGGTAGTAAAGCACAACCTTGGTATACGTGACGCCTCGCAGCTCTTCCACGTGATGCAACAAAGGGTTCGATCCTCAATTACCAGTGCCACAATGGCCACTCAGCGCAGACGAGCAAAGATTGCACGCTCAAGTCACACTCGGCGGCGCGTTTGATCTGATGTTTTTCCGAGGGAGAAATTTATGCGCCAACCGACCTCGAACTTGGCACGTTCGAAACGCCAAAATCATGAACTTTTTCATAGCCTAGTGACGAACAAGATCGCGGGCACTGTTTCAATCATAAATTGGATTTCATTTATAATTGAACGCCAAAAAAATATAGTCAATTATATGTAATTTTTATTAATAAGTTCAAATCATATCAAATGGAGAAAAAATTTAAAAATATTTTTGGTTTTTTAAATTTTGTAAAATTTTTTCATTTAATTGATTGGGGATTAAAGTGCAAGATTAATTGAAATTAATGGTACTTGTAAAATCCTCTTACAACGACGAGCCAGCATTTATCCACTTTCCTGCGCGCCAAATTAGAAATCAGACGATAAATGCAAAGTGACGCATTATTATAAAAGCAGCTCCTTGAGTCACCCCGAGCGCCGTCCAAGAATCGACCCGCGCATGTTCAACAAATGCAACGCGACATTTGTTATTCATTCAGCGACAATCGTGTCGGAGGAAAGTGAACACAATCCAAGTATCCATTATTTGCCTTGTCATGTAAATCCGTTTGAAAGTGAAATGCAATTAAATCGTTGAAAAATTGCGGCTTTTAATTAAAATGGAATTTCACCTGGATCGATCCAAACTGCCGAGCAGAACCACTCAATTATTATATGTGAAAAATTAATTAATGAATGGTTTTGTTTCTATTATGAAATATATAAAAATGATTAGTTCAGCTTCATTATTTTCTCAGGTTGAGTTAAACGAGAGCAGCACTTCCGAGGCGGAAGAGCCGCTTTTATTTTTGGCCCGCCTTTGTCTTTCGGTGTTGCATGCACAAACTCACGTATCTCTGAACGCAAATCTCTCTCAGTCAGACGACTTTTGTAAATATTTACAAAATGCTTTTGGTGCCGCGACCAGAAATTAGCGAGTTCTACGCACACAGCTTCCTTTTTTGACAGAAATATACTTTGTGTCGAATGGAAATTGACAAATCGATGCTAATTATTTAATTTTACTTTTAATTCCCTACAAAGGTGAAATTTTAGGCTCAAAAATAATTAAAAAGTGTCAAATGAAATTGTTCAGCAATGTTTTTAATTTCTTTTAAATAGATAACAAAACAAAGAAAACTAAAAAAAAAAAAAATAGTGCAAATCTTAATTGAATAATTCCGTGAGTTTGATAAGTAAAAAAAAATCCGTTTTTAATTAAATTTATTTCAATCCCGTCTTCAGCCATAAGATAATTAAAAATACAAATTAAAAAAAAATTTATTTCATAGAAATAATACAAAATTTAAAAAAAATCTTCTTAACAAAATGTTAATTAATTCAGCAAGAGGAATTTTTAATCATTCACTTATTTTAAACTTATAGAAATTTGTGTGTAATTATTTGTAGTTGACAAGTTTAGGATGAGTGGCTTGTTTTTTTCATCTTCTTAGGATTCATGCTCTCATTCACGTGCTTGGAAACAAATAATGATATAATGACAACCGAATTGCGTGCCGCGACTTCAAAACGTCATAATAGAAACAAAGGATTGTAACGAAAATGCACTCTTCCTGACTCCAAATAGTTTTGTTGGAGTGCTCGCAGGAAAAAGACACAAACGTGACCGCAAGAGATGATTTTTATTTCGTTGCGTGAAATTTCACCTCCGAAAATCGAATGAAAAGGGTGTCTGAGATAAATTTTCCAGCTGCCGCAGCAGAGCAAATAAATTTCTCTTTTCGTCTGCAAATATTTGTGATGTCCGGCGAGACAGATTTCCTTTTGCCAAAAGTACAAGCTTAGCAATCAAGAAAACGAGATTCGGCGGAAATCGCTAATGGTCCGACCATCTGGTGCGGGAGCAATAAAATCACATGAATGAGAAAACTATTCGCTTGTTCAAATTGAAATTGGGATTTTTCTACTAGTCGTGAATTTATTCAAACAAATTTTTCAATAAAACAGAAAAAATCGCAGTTTATTATTTTTTTTAACAGCTCTTATTTAATAGGTACAAACAATTAACAAATTGGGAGGGCAATCACAAGACACCCCCCAGGAAGATAGTGGCGGGAATTTTTTTTAGCTCGGCTCTAAAAATTTAGCACTTTCCAACGGGCTGGACTCATGAGGAGTTGGTACTCCCGGGGTCGGAGCCGAAGTTGGAGCCAAGATTTAAAACGAGTGAATCGCAGATTTTAAATAAGTCGATACGGGTAAAGAAAAAAAATTAAGGCGGGTTAAAAAAATTAGCCTGGGTCAGGGGGTTGAAATTTATCCCTTTGGATTTATCCCGGGATAGCTTTAAAATCGAACCGGGAGAACCAATTCAAGAGAATAGCGCCCATTATTATTATTTCCATTCATTTCCATTATTATTATTACTGTTAATTTTATTTATATTATCACTATTATTAAACTATGATTATTATTATTAGATATTTGTAATAAATGTTTTTTTCATTAACTATAACATATTTTCCTCAAATTCAGTCGCCATGGAATAAAAAATGAATGCCAATTTTTAAAATTTGTTGCCTCAACAAATTCCTCCTTTCTTTTTGCAGATTATCGAAGCTCAGTGCTTGATTAGCCATGGCGGCGCCGAAAGCGTCGACTTACGCAATTCGAGACGCACACTCTTTCTGCCTGCCGGTGGCGGCGACCAACTTGTTCAAATTTATTATTATTAGATGGGCGTGACTTTTGCTAGGTCGGCGGCTTCTGCGGCTGGGCGAGCAGATCGCTCGCGGATAAGAAACTCTTTTTAATTCATGATCTGATTAATGGCCTCAGAGCCAAATGCACACGGGCCGAGACAAAGAAAGAAAGAAAGCACCACTTTTCGTTCTATTAAAAATCCATTAAACGATTTTCGCTCTTCCGCGTCCGACTTGAAAACTTTGCATTAATTCACAGCAGATGGTCTCCCTTTCACGTCTCCATGCAAATTTAATCTGATGATCTCGCAATTTTTTTAAGCTGTTTTAACATTACGTAAGTTTTTGTTATAAAAAATTTAAAAATAAATAATAATAATAATAATTTGTTGGTAATTTTCCCTCAAATATTGTAAGAAAAATTTAAGAGTCTTAAATTTTATAAGACACTTTTGTAATTTTTGGAATTTAGCATTGCCTTTTTTTCTAAAATAATTTTCATCTCAAACTTGCCAAACGGAAATTGATAAAAATTTCACCAAACCACCCCAATTAAGATTGAAAAATAAAATCAATTGATAAATCTAGATCAAAAATTTAAATTTACCGTATTAAGAAGTATTAATTTCAGAATAGAAATCGTTAGCTCCTCTTTAAAACAAAATTTTTCTAGAAGATAATTTTTGCTTTTTCCTTTCCTCGTTTGAAATAGAGGAAATTTTCTATATACACTTGTTATTGGCAGAGAAAATAAATATCACGACTCGATAATGTGCTGATTAAATTTCACTTTTCTGCGCATTTCCGATGCGCCTGATCTGATCGACCTGCGTGTTTGTTTGTGTCTTTTTGATTGATCTGGTGATTAAGTTTATTACGATGGGAGCCGAAAATTATATCATACGCCACGGGAGGAAGATGCTCTCTTCTGGTGTTAGGCAATCGACCGAATCGCCTTGGGCCGTCGTCGGGGAAAAAATATCAGCTTTCTTCTCGTAATAATCATCAATCGCACGGTCGCTCAAGTCAAATGATCGCAACGCTATGATAAAATATTATGAGCTAAGAGGCGCATCTCGCGACGCCGGCCTTTTCACTTCCTACTTTTGACAAGCAGTAAAAATTAAAACAATCACGCGTTCAGAAGCTGTCTCAACTCGCCCAATTCTGGCTTATTATTTTGATATAAAATTGGGGAAAAACTATTATATCGATCAATGAAAGATTAATTTTTTAAACAAAATTAATAATCGTTCCCTAAATTTTAAAAATTAATCTTCTTTAAAAAAAATATATATAATCCTCTGTGGATCCAGATTTTTCATTTATAAAAATGGGAAAGTCGATCAGCGAGAAGAAACTGATTCTTAAGAGTTTCATCTTCATTCGTGTCAAGTGCGCCACAGAAAGAAAAGTGCATTTTTTTTTATTTATTCATCTCAAGCACAGAATCGTGCAGCTGTTTGATCGAGATATTACGAAAGAAAGTGAAGAACAAACAACGATTCACGGCTGCTTCCAGGTTCATTATAACCACCAAGGCTGTGAGATTCGGAGAGAATAAAAAAATAGAAAATAAATGGAGGAGAATGAAAGAAAGTCCTTCAAAGAAAGGTCTGACGGAGCAAGCGATGCGTGAATCGATTGTTTCCAAGGATTAAACATTTGAAAAGACTGTCAAAAAGTCAAAATCAAATATTTATTTCAACATTTTCTTTCAAATTGATGTAATTGAAATTGTTGAATTAAATTAACAATGTCCTTAATTTATGAAATATCAATTTATGTTTTGGAAATTATGATATTTTTAAAACGTTTTTTCTAACCTAAAATGAAGTTTAGGATATTATTTTTATTTACAATTTTAAATTTCACTAGGAATCAAATTTCTATCTTCAGCTTAAATTATGATTTCAGTTTGGAAACTTGACATCATTTGACATTTGACCTGTGATTTTGCTTAGATCAACTAAACGATTCAAATTAATCTTAAATTTTATTCTGTGGCTACAAAAATTCTTTTCTAAATGCCAAATTTTGAAAGTTATTAAATAAATATTAACTTTACTCCCCATCTAATCAATATAAATTAGGTTTTAAATTTCCAGATTTTTACTTCAGATCAGAAAAACAAAAATCTAGTAATTTCAAACAATCCACAAATTTTTTCTATCCAACAGCAAATTTGCTTGCAAGAAAATTCGAAAGAGAATTATAATTAGAAGACTTGCAAGCAGTCATGCGCAGCTTATTAATGTGAGAGACAAATTATTATCTCTATTCATGAATAGAAACTCATTTTCTTTTTTCTTGTGACACCTCGCTTGGTCGCATCATAAAGTGCTAATGAGATCCTCGCAGACTGTAAATATCAGCTGCAGTGGCACGTACACAAAAAGCAAATACGCGCTGAGCTTTTCTCATCCCACGCACCCAAGAAACAAACGCAGAGAGAGGTTAAAATGTAGGGCACACGACGTGAAACGAATTCCAACGTTTCAAGCACGCACGCGGCTCTTCTTTTTGCAGAGCACAGCGGCCTTAACCTTTCGGGATCACCGATTTACAGAGGTGCTTTTTTTAATTAACTTTCGACGGGCCAGTGAGAAGAATCTATTAATTTTAAGAACAATTTTCTAATGGAATCAATCATTTTTTGAACAAAAATATTATCCCTTAAAGTAAATATTCTTGAATAAAATTATTTATAATTCAACAAATTTAATGATTGAAGAAAATTTCTGAATAATTTTTATTTAGAGAAAAAATCCTTGAATTCTTCGTCTGCCCAGCCACTTATTAATCACGATGAAAGTTTTAATTCTTCCGCTCTAACATTTTGCTTGCAAAATTAATCTCATCCGATAATTCTTCATCGGATTTTAAACAATTACTACAAAATGATGATGTTGACTGATAATTAGAAAATGGCGATCCTGTGATGAAATAGTGGAATCAAATTTTAAAAAATTGTTATTCTCAGGTGAATTGAGTTCAATTAAAACTGAAAATTTTACAATTTTTAGTTGATAAAATCTTTCATGATGGTGCAGCATGTCGAATTTTGAATAAAATTATATGATATTTTGTGACGAGAACAAGACGAGTTTCACTTCTTTGTATTTATGGCATCTCAAAGAGAAAGAAATGGCGTGCATTATTTATAATCGAATCGAGAGGTGCATACAAGAAGCGCCGATGATCCGTATCGCATTTCAAGAGCAACTATGGCATTTTCTCTTTCCACAGAGAGCAATTTTATTCATAATTTATGTGGGCGGATTAGAGCTCAGCTTGGCAGATGAAAATGTGCATTTTCACTCCAATCGCAGACTTCTCATTACAAATATTGGCCTTGTGGTGAATGTACAAGTCAAAAGGACAAGAGCACAAAATCTAATCAGAATATTTTGCTTTTTCATTTCTCATTTCATCATTTAAGTTTAAAACCTTTTCAGCCCATTTTTATTATTAAATTTCATTTCTTAATGAACAATAATAATAATTAATTCTTCAGAAATAAAATAATAATTATAATTTTTTTTTAATTTCAATTTAATGGAAATTAACATTTGAAGAATGTTAAATTTGGCAGCGCGTCTCTAATTGAACTAATTAACTTGCATTATTAGATTAAATGCTTTGAAAATTGAACGATTTTTGTTTCCCACAGCAAAATTTGTGACGTCAGCGAGCACGTGCGGATCATTTGAAACGCTCTCCTTTGGCACTTGTTATTAATTTGGCGAGATTTCAACCGAGGCCGTCAGGAAACTTCATGATTTTCGACAACATTGGGCGCGAGCATTATTAAGTCATTATATAATGCAAAATTAGATTCCATTTGGGTGACGTTACCTGAGTTATTTTGCAAAAGGTTGCGCAGGAAATTTTGAGCGACAGAAATAACTGAACAAACACTCTGAAATGCGGAACTCGACGCGCGCCAGAGAAAGTACAAAATTCTTGATTGAATTACGCGACGACGCGCATAAACAAGCCGCGCAATACAATCGGCCGCTAAAATTCACCTTGTTACGTGCAGCGCCGTTTAATTTGTATTGCCAAAAAAAGGTTCACGCCATAAAATCACTTTTCTCCGAAGCGTTTTTTCCAGACACTTTTGGTCATGAGAACTTCTCACAATTATTTTCTGCTCCAAAAGATGTCAGAAGAAAAAGTCGATTAAAAAAAAATCATGAAAGTATTTCTTATTTATTCTAGTTTCACATAAAATCGAAATGTTACGAATTTAATTGAAGAAATAATTTTGAAACAAGTCATTTTTTGTCACAGATATTGTGAAGGTTGAAAAATATTGATCAAACGATTCAAATAATTTAGAACTCTTCATTGTTGTAATTTTGAGGTCGTCACTTTTCAAAATTAGCAATAATAAAATTTACCTCTAAAAACTCCTAAACAAATTTTTATTTTATTGATTTATCTCATTATTTTTGCTTTAGCAACTCACCTTGTATGGCTGAGCATTCACATTTTTACGCGCTCCAGTCATTTTTTTTTCTTTAATTTTGCAATTCGCAGTTATGCAAAGATATTTACGACCACTTGACTAAATGGCAAAAATTTCACACATGCCGAGGCGCGGCCTTTTCTATTTTCTGAACGCGCGGCAATAAAAGTGCAAAATCTGTCCAGGCAACCTTGACTTTTCTCGACACGAAACTCTCCAGCCGAAGGAAGATCGAAAAAAAACTAATTACTCGACCTTATCGCTTTTGCTAATTAGCCCAGCGGGAGTTGTAAAAAAAATCTCCCATCTCGGCAGGTAAAAGCGCATCTAAGACCTACTTTTGGCAAACCGCGCCTCCGAGGGGCTGCAGCTTCAAATAGTTTTTTCTCATTTCTGGGCCGATTACATGGAAGTAGTGATTCAATCTGTGCGAGTGGAGCTTGAGCAAAGAAGCAAGCCAGTGGTGCCGAAGGAGAGAGTGAGAGGCTTGGTGGTGGCGCAGAGGAGGATCGGCCAGACGGCCAGACACGCCGCCAACCAACACTCGCTTCCGAGCCGTCCACGGAGACTTTCGATGCTGCGAGCTGCAGCCAAAAAAAGTTTCAGTTCGTCAACCCAGGAAAAGAAGGAGAACAAAACTTGTTTGGACAAAAGGATTACACGTTGCATCAGGTACGGTTCTATTTAAATCAAAATTTCAATTTTTTTTTTATTATTTGGTATTTTGAAGTCTTATCAAAATTCCTTTTTTTTCTAAACAATTGAAAAATTAACGACTTTTTCAATTTTTTCCTTAAGATCAATGTGAATTATTTATGTCGACCGATTATATTTCTCCATCTTACTTAGAATTGTTATCAATTTTGGTCAACTTATTTTAAGGAAAAAATTATTTTAGAAAATTCCCATAAGAAGAAACAATGTGAAATTTATAAAATTTCAAAAATTCAGATTTAAATTTTTCTTACATTTACAAACCAAAATTAAATATAGAGGAAAATTATAGTCAAAATAAATATTTTCTAATTCGTTACAAAATAAATTTGGTCGAAATACTTTTCCTTTATTTTAAAGATTTGGATAAATTATATTTTATAATTTTTTTATAACAAAATTATTTGAATTTTGGCACAGATCAAAATCAGTATTTTCTGCACTCGTTTCCTCTCTTTCTTTCTTTCTCTCGCATCCACGCATTGTGTGTCTGTTTTGTGAGAAATCTCTCCGACACTCAATTTGCACCGAAAACTTGCTAACCCAGTAACCTTGCTTGCACTTTTGCGTGGGAATTCTGTTGCTTTATAATTACATATGCACAAGGGACATTTATTAAATGAACGTTCAATTGCACTCTCTCTCTAAAAAAGTGACATCAGCCCGGCCAGTTTCTCCTTGCACGTAATTATTTTATTTATTGCGCCATTGTTCGCCTCTCTTATCTCTCTGATATGCAAATCGGTTTAGCAGGAAAAGGGCGCGTCTATTCTTGTGTGCAAATGAGATTAAGAACTTTCTAAGCTCTTCAGGGGGACGCGGTCCAGCGTATCAGTTTTCTCGTGATTTATGATGATTGGCAATAAAATGTAAAAACGAGCGAAATAGTCATTTCTTGACCCGAGTTTTCTCCGAAGTAAATTGATTACTGTCATTATGCGTGCACTTCCTGCTGCGAATCCAAAGCTAGATTTCTCCCCCGACGACCACTGAGCTTTGTGTATTATTACAAAAATTACTAATTATTATATTACTGAGCATGGGATTTTTTTTTTAAATTGCACACAAAACCGGTTTTGGTGCGAAGAGCGTTGCAAGTTTATAACAAAACGAAATGCACATTGGAGAAAGGTAGGGTTACCAGGAAGAGAGGCTCCTTGTGTGAAAAAGAAGTCACGTCGCGAGTGCAGAAGTGATGGCAATTTTAATGGCCTTTAACTTGCAGAGAGGACGTTGAGCAACGGCCATTGTTGAAAGTACCGAGATTTGCACGTCAATTAACTCTGGGGGAATTAAATTGGACGCAAAAAGAAAGAACACTGTGGGTGGATCCAAATATCAGAGAAAATATTAACGAGAAACGATTCTCGCGTAAGGATTCTCCAAGAACGTATTCTGCCTTAAAAATTCAACTAAAGAATCGTTTCTTGAGAATGAGAATCCTTACGAGAATATTTTTTTTTAAATCGATTGTTGAGAATCTTTTATTGGGCATCTCTGCGAGAATCTGTTCTTGAGAATCTTTGCGAGAATCTTTCCTCTGATATGATGACATGACCCACCCTCCGAATTTTTAAAATTTTGACTTTCAAGATGTGGACAAATGCACTGGTTGAAAAATTGTTGATCAATAAAAGAGCAATTTGGTTCAATGAAATCGTAAAATTGCGTCCGGCAACGAGAACATTCCAAATTAAAGCGTTTGACGGAGGCGTAAAATTGTAATCAGTGCCTTTAGTTATTTGCAACTCACGATTGAAAATCGGCGGTCGTAAATGTGCGCGTGCTCTTCGTATCCCAAGGCAGTCGTAATAAAAGTAAAACAAAAATTATGCAAAGCGTTTGATGAAAGCGCGCGTTATTTACACGATTTCGCGCGTTATTTGAGTTGCGAAATTTTGCCGCGATTAACCAAAATTAACACCTTTTTGGCGCAAATTTATGCGTAGCCATTTTCTTGAAAAGTAAATTCAATCCCAATGGTGTAATAATCATTTCTTTCCTTTCTAATGTGCGATATTTGATGCGACGGACGCGATGACACAACGCAAACCTTCACCAGGACAATTATGTTGCAATCTCTTTCCAGCGCTTACCTGCGAACAAAATGACAAGTGTTAAGTTCAGTGCAAAGCAAATTATAATTTTACACTCAATAAAATTGTTCTTTGCCACTTCAAGACTTGCTCAAGTAGAGAAGGTACTATGAAGTGGCATTTCAATTATAATTATTTTCTAAAGGGTCACTTGAAAAGCAACAATTGCTCACCTAAGACATTTAAAAAAAATATATAAAAAAATTAATAAGAGCTTCAGTTTAAAAATATATCAATTTAATTATAACTTTGTATTCCTGTCAAGAAAAATTAACCTTTTTTTACAAAAGATTATAATGCAAATTGAAGAAAGTGATAAATGATAAAATTATGCGGAGAAAATTGCAATTGAGAGACATCTTAGATTAAATGTTTCGCTCTACATTATAACAAGTTAATTTTCTACCATTTATTTGCAATTAGCAAATTACCAGTGTTTGCAAATCTTTATTTGAGTGCAGCTGTTAAACGCATCCACCTTTCCCAGAGAAGTAATTGCTACTTGCAATGTGATGCAATCAACAATTTCACTCAGCTTCACTTCACATGAGCTACCAGTTGATCAACGTTTATTTTTATACCCAGCAAAAATCAACGAGACGTGAGAGAATTTCATAATTTAACAACGGAGAGTAAAAATGTGTTGATCGATGGCAATAAATTGTGTTAATTTTCTAATTTTGAATTATTAGAGAGATGCCTGGTGATTTGATTGGTAGTTGAAATATTTCTACAATCGAAAGATTAACTGAAGAACTTCAATAATATTTCTTCTAAGATCTAAAAATTTGAAAAAAAGAATGTTTTTCATCATTAATAAGTTTGGAATTACAATCATTTAACTAAATCTAACTGTCTATTGAGGAAATTAGTTTCAAATATTTCAACATTTAAAATAAAATTAATTCAATTTCTCAAGAAGTGCCATTTATCATTTCTAAACACTGTGCATAATCGGTTTGATTAAAAGTAGCGATGTATGTGTTTGAAATATTAATGTTAACACCGCGATTTGAATTGGCCGCCCCACTTGATCACTCCATCGGCTCGAAACTGGTTTGGCAGGCCAACAGAATATTACGACACGCACTTCTCGATCCAGGCGCGCGAGAGATCACCGCCGCCGCATAAGGTGGAAAATTACTTTCACTGCCACCGATCAAAAGCTTCCTTGCTGAAAATCGTCCGATGAGACAACCGTGCGCGCGTTCATTTCGCCGCAGCAGATTACTGCATTTCACGCAAATTCAGATTTCACTTCGAGAAGTGACCACGCGCTCTATTAATAAACGTCCTGACCGTCTGCCCCGTCAGCTTGGCTAAGCAAATTCACAATAAAAAGTGGTGGATATTTTTATTTTGTTAAACTGGTTAAATATGAGTCTCTTTCAGGCTGAAAGGAGTTTAAAATTTGATTCAACAAAAGAATCAAAATGCCATTTTTTTTAGCCCGAATTTAAAATCTTGTAGATTAATAGTTAAATTTGTAAAAATATGATAGTACAAGAAAAAAAAGAGGAAAAGTATAGTAAATAAACTGTTTTCCTTCTCTCATTATATTTAAGTCTCACAATCAAAAATGATAAAAGTTAAAAAATCAGAATTCAATTTTTAGCAGTTTAAAAGAAAATCCAAAGTACTTTCCAGTCTGTAACAATTTTATGGAAAAGATAAGTAATAAAATTATTTCCTCTCAAATTTTATAGGCCCTTCTTTTTTCAGTCCCAAAGGAAGACGAATTTTATTTATTACTGAATAGAAAAAAAAACAAATAGCAACAGTTTTATTTTCAATTATAAAAGTAAATAAAAATTCCTGAATTTCAATTTCAAGCTTTATTTTCTTAGATTTAAAATAACCGTCTATTCTTGGCCACTTTGAATATGAATATTAAAACGTCCGGTTGATTTTGGCCAGCACCATACTCGGGTCGAAATATAAAACGAAAAAGGCAACAGAGTTAATTCTCACTTGGTTAAGTTGGTCGAACGCAATTAAGAGTCGGATGAAAGGCGGCCCTTTTTGGCGAGAAAGGGACAAATCTTTCTTTCTTTCTATAGGTTTGTTTGCATGCACTTAAAAGGTGACTTTTGAGAAAGTGTCCAAAGTTGTGTGCCGTTTGCAGAAAACGGTCGTTTGCGTCCGCAAAGAAAGAGAATCTCTTGAAGAGATAAAAAGCGGCACGCACGGAAGGAAAACGGAATTGTTTACGAAGAAGGCGCCGCAGACAGACGAAATTCCGCGCTGATTGGATCGACCCAATAAAAGCCGGCACGCTTTGCATGTGGCCAAAGGGCAGCAATTAAAATTCGAGCCTTTTCGCAAACAAAGAAGAAATTAACAAGCGCGATAAATGAGAAAGCGCAGGCAGTGTTAAATGTTGCCACAGGTGATTCACGTGGAAATTTTTAAACACAATTTAGGCACAGAACATTCAGAAAAGTCGTTTTTAATCCAAAAGTACAAAAAAAGGGATTTTTAAGCAAAAAATATATTAAAAACATAACCCATGAAAATTTAAAAAATTAATAAATTACAAATTTTTATTAACTGCTAATAGCCCTAAAAATTGGAAAAATTTATAAAATTCTTAATAAAAAATTGCTAAAAAAGTAAATAATTTTTATTTTTATTCGTATCATTGGTAATTTTATGTTTCATTTTTATCTTTTAACGTCCTTTTACATTATCAAATTTAAAATGTTATATCTTTACATCATCAATAATCTGATAAGAATTTTATAATAAAAGTTATAAAAATAAATTTTGCCAAAATGATTTCGATATAAATTCCTAAAATTATTAAAGCTTTTTTGTATAAAATAATTAAAAAGTCGTGCATATTTTTAATCAAAATGATGCAATTTGCAAAGATGAATCATGAGATTATGAATTTTGGAAAGTATTTAGAAAGAAAATAAAAATCGCCTTTTCACCAGTCTCGTGTGATAAAATAATTTCCTGTTCGAGATAATGAAGAAAAGAAAAGCCTCGGTTCATGTACAAACAATTAACCATTGCGCACATCGCGATGATACGCCTGCTGCAATTACAAACATCGCGGAAATGCACTTACTTGGTTATCGCCGATGGCAGAAACTTTCTTTCTTTCTTGTGCGCCGAAATTGCGGAGAATCGCATCTCTCGGATTAATTACAAAGCGAAGCCCTTGAACGCGCCGCGACGAATCCGATTAAGTTTTCGCTCGGTTGAACGACAAATCCATATTATTTGTCAAGCTTTCAACGGCGTTTGTGCCGAGCGAGTGCGTTTCCAACGCCGAGGGTGTCCGCCCACTCGAAATCACTTGGCATGAAATTGGTTCGGCTAAACATGGCTCGAATAAATCAATGATTTTCATCAAAATTTAATATAAATGTGGAAAATCTAGAAAATGATGAAGTTTGAAATCGTTTCAATTAATTTTATTTGAAAATTAAACGTTATTTTGATTGAAGAAGATGCTAAAGAAATGATTGAAATTTTTATCATTTTAGTTGGAATTGATTGAGAAATTAAACTAATTATTCAAATTTTTATTAAATATTTCACGTGAATAGCAAAATGAAATAAGTTGTGCCCACATAAGAATAATTATCTGAAAAATTATCTATAGAATTTTCTTTACAAACTGATTTTCTTTTTAATCAAAAAAAATTTATCACTTGAAAAAAATAATGTCCATTTTTTCCCTCCACAATGCAATATTCTACTTCGGGGTAAAATTTATCTAAAAATTTCCATTAATATTTTTTTTTGTACATTTATAAAGCGTGTTGACTTTGATGTTTTTAATAACACAGGGAATGGAAATTTCATTCGTGCGAGGCAAGACCTAGCACAATGTTTACAGTCTTTTGTTCGTCACGACAGAAAAAAAATGAAACGCTGCTCCATGATTTGCAAATTCTTGCGCACGATTTTGATTTAACGCGGAGAGCGAAAACTGGAGCATTCCTTCTTTTGCCAAGCAAATTGAATCGTCAAAAATCTGACATTTTAATAAACTCTGCTGCAAAAACAGACGATCGATTTCGGCTCGATTGTTCTGGCGAGGGGAGCGAAAATCGCTCAAGCGGCACGAGCGGGCGCCGAAATTTCCCTTTGATCGGGAAAAAATAAACAGCTTTTGATGCTCGCCTGGACCAGGAACGGTTTTCACAGGATTTTCGGCGCCGACGTTTTATATTCGCTGATAATTTTGTGCAGGATAATTTAGAGTGAAAGTTTGAGCAAGGCCATGGTCGGAGCCGCTCACAAAAAAATAAATATAAAGAAACAGCATGCAAACGAACGCAGTCAGACGCGATATTCGTGCAGCTGACGAGAGAAAACCAAGAGTCGTTCGCTTCGATTGTTTGGGGAAAAAGACAGATTGGACCGAGGAAATCTGCTGTGCGGAAGTTGGGGCTATTGTTTTTTTTTATAAAGAAAGAAATAAAGAATAGTAAAAGTGCATAAAAAACCATTTCCTTGAAAATTGTAGAATAAAATTTATATATTCCAACAACATTTAAGAATAAAAAGATGTATTTTCTTTTTATCTTATCATTATATTACGATTTGTAAGAAAATATTTCTGAACGTGAATCACTGCAATTTAAAAATTGAAATAATTTTAATGTTTTTGAAAGAAACATTATTCTTTTAAAAATAAAAATTGATCATTTTAAAGAATGAAAAAAATATATTTAATTTAGAATTGGTGAAATTATTGCGCAGGAAAAATTCATGTGGTTTCAAAGTGTTCAGTTGCCTAATTGAGAGAAAAACTGAAACTCTTTCAGACGAATATAAAAATCATGAAATGTACAGCGAAATTAATTGAGAACTGAAACCGCAATGCCGGCGAGAGAGTGCAATAATTGTGGTTCACAATAATATTGTGCACGCCCTAATTACTCTAAACATAATTTTCTCCGGCATTTTTGTTAAAATTACTTAACAAATTATTTATTTCCACAGGAAACATGACTTGAGCATCTAGTGGCGAGAATAATGTTTGAAGAGGAAAAGGCTTCAAGGTAGCCTGCCATGTTGTTCCCCAGCATAGTCGCTGCGGCCGCGCTCAAAGCGGGCTTCGCCCTCTTGGGCACCGGCCTCTGGACTCTGCCCCTACTCATCATGGGGCTCGCGTACTACAGGTGACAAAATATTTTAAAAACTGATATATCAAATTTCATTTAAAGCTGCAACTCTCACTCAAATTGAATTGGATTGGAACAAAAACTTGTTTTTTTAAGAATTAAAAATTTTTGCTCACAAAATAAAAGCGTCCAAAATCATCTGACTATATTTATTAAAAAAAATCAATTTATAATTATTTGACACAATTTTTCAGAGAAATTCTATTAAAATGTAGCAATTTTATCTAATAATAGAAGTTGAAAGCCTCAAAAACTTAATAATCTGGAAAATTAATTTAAAAAAAAAATCAATAACTTCTTGAATAATTGAAGCTTTGAATGGTCTTAATGGAAAATAAACATATTAAACTAAAATAAATTAAATTGTTTTTGGTAAATTAAAAAATAATACTAATTTACTTTAATTAATGTTGATTTTCAGATTTTTTTCTTTTAACGAAACATTTAAATGCGATTTTATTTTTTCAGATACGACGCCCTGGACCCCGAGAACCATCCGATCGACCGGCCCATTCTGCTGCCCGAGTACGACTTCATCGTGGTGGGCGCGGGGTCGGCAGGGGCCGTGGTGGCCTCGCGCCTCAGCGAAGTGCCCGAGTGGAAGGTGCTGCTGCTGGAGGCCGGCGGCCACGAGTCCGAGATCACCGACGTGCCCTCGCTGGCCGCCTACCTGCAGCTCAGCAAAATCGACTGGGCCTACAAGACCGAGCCGACGGGCCAGGCGTGCCTCGCCATGAAGAACGGCCAGTGCAACTGGCCCAGGGGCAAAATCCTCGGCGGCTCCTCGGTGCTCAACTACATGCTCTACGTCCGCGGCAACAGGTGAAGCTTTTCCATGGCGTTTTAATTGAAAAAAAAATTTTTTATGGGGTTTGTGAGTCGATTGTTGTTTTATGAGGTGGGTCCGAATATCAAAGAAATGATTCTTGAAACGATTCTTAAGAAACGTTTCTCAAGAAAAGATTCTTGAGAAACGATTCTCAAAAAGATTATGAAAAAATAAGATTCTCGCGCAAGGATTCTTAAGGAACGATTCTTTAGATGCTCTTTTTAGATGATCTTTTAAATGCAGAAACGTTCCTGGAGAATCCTTGCGCGTGAATCTTTTCTTGAGAATCTTTTCGAGAATCGTTTCACTGATATTCGGACCCACCCAATATCATAGTCGTCAGTTCATGTGATGTGAAATAATTTTTTTTTTTTTAATTAGAACATACATTATATTAAGTAAAGTTCTTTTCGTCAAAGTAACAAATTTTAAAATGAACAATTTCCAACAGAAAATTTTGAAATTATATAATCTTTCATATAAAAAATTAAAAATGTTTTCTCTTTTGATGGAATTATTGTTTCTTTTCCTGAAAAACAATACAAACTCACAAGACCTCTCAAGGAAGTGCTATTTTTCAATTATTAATTTTTAAATTCTTCTTCAAATCAATGCTTTTTTTCCAAACTTTGGGTTTAATTCGGTGTTTCTTAGGCACGACTACGACCTGTGGGAGAGTTTGGGCAACCCCGGATGGAACTACGAAAACGCGCTGCACTACTTCAAAAAGTCCGAGGACAACCGCAACCCGTACCTGGCGAGGACGCCGTACCACTCCTCGGGAGGGTACATGACGATCCAGGAGGCTCCGTACCGCACCCCTCTGGTGGTGGCGTTCGTCAAGGCGGGCACCGAGATGGGCTACGAGGAGCGGGACATCAACGGCGAGCACCAGTGCGGCTTCATGGTGGCGCAGGGCACCCTCCGCAGGGGCTCCCGCTGCTCCACGTCCAAGGCCTTCCTCAGGCCGGTGCGCCTGCGCAAGAACATCCACGTCGGACTCAACGCCCACGTGACCAAAGTGCTCATCGACGCGGAAACGAGACGCGCGTACGGCGTCGAGTTTTACAGAAACGGCAAGAGACAGGTAAACAACTTGTAATAATTATTTTAATTGCGAGTTGTATAAAAAATTCTAGAGTTTTCTGTAACAAAAGTAACCAAATTTTGATGTATAATACATTTATAAATCTTTCAGAATATTTTCATGTAATTTTCTTTTTCTATTTTTTTTTTCATTTTTTATATTTTGTTGATGCATCTCTTAGTTCTCTTTATAGGCGAAGATTTTCTAATGGTACACCAGTAAACTTGATTTGGAACTATAGAGATCTTCAACTGAGATTAACGTTAAAATAAATATTTTTTAAACTTATTTCCTTCTATAAGAAAACAATTTTAAATTGTGCCTGTTTGAGCTGCTGTAACTTTTGAACAGAGCTGAATTTTCAATTATTTGCATATTACGTACTTTGAATATTGCCAGATATTTAAATTCTCAAATGCAAATTGTCTTTTAAATGAGTGTTAAACGGGTTTTAAACGTAAATCCCACATTTCTCAATTGCTAGAAAAACTTATCAGGGGAAACCCAAAGAAACATAAATTAATTACTTCTCACAATCATTGTGAACACGCATATTAGCAAAGAGTTTCTGGTTTCTACACTGAGAAAAATGTTTACTGAACTGTTTATCATAAGATCAATAAAAAATTTGTAATTTGGCCTTCCTTTACATTTTTTTTTAGCTAGGTTTGGGGTCATATAAACTTGGTTTGATGGAAATTTTATTCATTTTTATCTTACCAATTTTGAGAAAAAAATTCAAGCTTTTCAAATGTTTCAAAGTTTCAATGTAAGGCAATTTTAATTTCCAAAAATTTCTTTCTTCTTTGATAATTCAGTTGTCTTGTGACATATCATTGGAATGAACATTTAAAAACCAATGCTTTTGTAGCCAAAAATTATCATAACAATCAATCGGGCCGTTTTTAGCACAAGCCCCTCCTTAAATTAAAAGATAACGAAATGTGCGAAACACCAATGATTGATGATTGTCCAAAAAAAGCGTTGAAGAACTTGATTAATATCAAAATCAAGCACCTGAAACAGTTAAAAGGTGGTTTCCTGTTACACCTTATCCTAAAACCTATCCATCAAAACTTCTTTTTTCCTAATTTTTAATTTTGTAATTACGTAAATAAAGGAAAGTAATGGATTATTTTATTTTCCTCTCTATGATTTAAATTGATAATTTTTCAATGTATTTACAATCTATTTGGGCAGTAATTGCCTTTCATATCAATAAAGACTTCTCGTAACTAAATTATTATGGTTTTTTTTTCAGGTGGTGTTTGCGAGGAAGGAGGTTATTTTGTCTGCGGGCGCCATCACCTCGCCGCACCTGCTGATGCTCTCGGGCGTCGGCCCGAAGCCGCACCTCGAAGCCAACGGCGTCGCCACCCTCGTCGACTCGCCCGGCGTCGGCTCCAACCTGCAGGACCACGTGGGTCTGGGCGGGCTGACCTTCCTGATCGACAAGCCGGTGGCGATCGTGCAGGACCGGCTGAACGCGGTGCCCATCACGATGGACTACGTGCTGAACGAGCGCGGCCCGATGACGATGCTGGGCGGCGTCGAGGGGCTGGGCTTCGTGCGGACGCCGCTGATCGCCGCCAACCTGTCGGCCGACGTTCCCGACATCCAGTTCCACTTCGCGCCGGCCAGCGTCAACTCGGACAACGGCGCCAGGGTTCGAAAGGTGCTGGGCCTGTCCGAGCGGACGTACCGCAAAATGTACGCGCCGATCGCCAACAAGGACAGCTTCACCATCATCCCGTTGTTGCTGCGGCCAAGGTCGCGCGGGGTGATCCGCCTCAAGAGTGCCAACCCCTTCGAGTACCCCTACATCGACCCCAACTACTTCTCCGACCCGTTCGACCTGGCCACGCTGCGCGAGGGCGTCAAGATCGCCGTCGAGCTGGGCCAGAGCAAGTCCTTCCGGCAGTTCGGGACGCGGCTGCACAACATCCCGATGCCCGGCTGCGAACACTTGCGCTTCGCCTCGGACGAGTACTGGGAGTGCTGCATCCGCCACTTCTCCATGACCATCTACCACCCGGTGGGCACCGCCAAGATGGGGCCCGAGCAGGACCGCGAGGCCGTCGTCGACCCGCGCCTCCGCGTCCACGGCGTCCAGGGCCTCAGGGTCATCGACGCCTCGGTCATGCCCACCATCGCCAGCGGCAACACCAACGCGCCCGTCATCATGATCGGCGAGAAGGGCGCCGACTTGATCAAACAAGACTGGAACGTAATCAACGAGAGTTACTACTTGAGGAGGTGAACGAGCCGAACAAACTTTTGAACATTGAACTCAGTGTTACCATTAGAATTATGAACTTGATTGAATTCAGCAGATTCGTGTTGTAAAAATGGTTCCATCTAGTCGATGATGTTGAGATAATTATACGCCATACCAACCATACTCGGTGACCTTTTATACCTCTACGACCCTTCGAAATCAATATAAAAGATGCCGATACAAATTCTGTTTAGAAAATGGAAACTTTCTTGCAATTGAAATCCATTTAATAAAATCTGATTTTGCAAGAAAGGTTTCCAAAAAGCCTTATGAAAAAAGGGCACGTTGCCACATGTGCCAGTGATTTTTTAATCGGTTTTACTAAATCGGAACTTTGATTGCTACTACTATAATTATACAATTTACCGATTTACTTTTCATGAAAAGTGTTCAATTTGTACATAATCGAGTTAATGTGAACAAGTATGATACTGCTTCCCATATAGAATAAAATATGTTTACAATTTTGTAAAATGCTTCCGTTTTCTTCTTCTAATTCTTCCTGATCATTGACCTATCACATCAATCAAACAATTTTTTTGCCGAGGCCGTTGATCGCCAAGAAAAAATATTCGATCAATCAACATTGCACTTAGCAAGTAAAAATTCGCAAATTATTTCCGCGTTGCTTCTTTACTGGGTCACACGGTCAAGGCATCAGAAGATGAACCTCTACAGGCCATTGGACTTTCATATTGTCTCGAAGAGTTAATAATTTATTATTATTTTTCTTGTAGGGGAATAAAATGTTACTATTTGCTTAAGGAAAAGGTTGGTGAACTTTTTTGAGCATTTTATCTTCAATGGAGCTGCATTTTTACCGCATTACCTTATATTGTTGACTTTGAAGGTTGTTTTTTGTACATAAAATCCTTGAAGGATGGAGGTGGAAATCGTTTGATCCGTTCTATTAATTAGCATAGTCCATTAGTCTGGCACAAAGTCATTAGCCCCGAGAGCGATCAATTTTAAACAGATCAAAATCTAATTAACTGATTATTATTTTTATTATTAATTTGCCACAATAATTCAAAAGTGTGGCAGAGAATCTTGCAAAAATTCTTTTTAAAATGAGTTACATTACAAAAAGTTACAAATAAATGTGCATAAAAAAAATCGTTAGAGACTTGAATGGGCTGTGCGTCACATAATCGGGTGAAATGAATCTACCTGCTTGTCCGCATATTTGTAGCGTTGACAGGTTTTTCCAGAAAATAATTGATGTCTCTCGAATGCGCAAAATTGGATATTCACTTTTTTCAACGCTAACTATTTGCATCACTTCTTTATTTATAGAATCCACGATTATCCACTTTATTTATTCGCAAAACAATGAGTCCGTCGGAAGATTCCATGGGTTTCCCACGCCTGCAATTCTAGATTAATGTGCGCATAATAATGAGTTAATTAGAGACTCATTTAATAGTTTTATTGGCTAAAGTGGAATTTTCCTGCAGTTATGAGTAAAGAAGATTTATTTTTCCTCGGAAATTGAGCACAATTTCTACAAATATTGATTTGAGTGCAAGTGATGAGCAGAGAGAGTTGAATTGCACTTGTCAATATGTGCACTCGTCAGTTGCATGTCAAGCGCTTTTTATTGTGTGTCAACAAGTCGCTTGATAGAGATCGTGTCAATTTTTTTTATTATAACGAGTCGCAAGTTTGTTGCTCCTGAGAAATTCCAATTTATGAATTTTCGCTCAAACTTTGCATAAAATGTCCTTACTCCGACCTTGCAAATTGCGTTGACACGCGAAACACCGAATGAAACGCCTCTGAAAGCAGGAAATTTGAAAATTGAACTCGCCCATAAGCTGTTTGTAACAATGGTACGTTTTGTCATTTGTTTACTCACGGACATCTTGATCTCATTTCGCATGTGCAAATTAATCAAATCAGTTGCTCTGTCAAACTTCCGCTCTCTAAGATTATTCGTACAATTTCAAATATTATCTTTTTTATTCTTCAGCAAAATTCTCAAAGGAAAATCTAAAGTATAAAAATTTATCATGAATTTAGTTGAATAAAAATAGAGGTTTGAAATTTATTGCATTATCTTAAATTTAGTTATAAATTTCCTTTTTTGACTTTTTATTATTGTGTTAAAATACTTCATAATTAATCATTAAATGATCAATTACTGTTAAACGTCAAACACTTGAAATAACATAAATTAAATTGAATAAAAATCAAAATGGGGTTGGAAACGAAAAGTTTTTGTATATCCTACTTTCCGATTTTTCCCTTTTTTTTAATTTTCTAATTCAGTTTTGCTTTTAGGCGATTGGCAGGAGTGAAAAACTAACGCAGACCTGTCGATAAAAGCAGTCACGTCAAAGGGATGGGTCCGTTGATCATACAATAAAGCAGCCCTTGGGCAGTAACTTTGGAAACTAGACGCCGCAAAGTCAATATTGCGCAAAAGGGATCGATCTCTTTCCTCTTCTTTGAGATGCGCTTCTATTGATCGTGGCTAGGAAATTCCCAATGTGAATTAGATGCAGCGGCCGATTTAGCCGAGATTTAACATGCGTGGAAGGGCGCAGTGTCGCGCTTACGCAAGGTCAAAATGATAGCGTCGGCAAAAGGTGGTGGCGATATAAATAGTCGCGCACGTAGAACGGGTACCTTCTACGAGAGTGAACCCGCCAGGGGAGTCGATTGCATCTAGCCGAGACGAGAAAAGTGGCCGCAGATCAGTTTCTTTGCGAAAACACATCCAACTGCACCAGTCCATCAAAACGTGAGTTTTCAAATGTTTATTTAAGAGTTTAAATATTTTGATGGGAAATAAATTAAGCAATTTGGTATGCACTAAATAATATAAAATTTGATAATTTAATTAATTCAAAATACGAAAAACATTGAGATGAGAAACATTTTTTTAAATTTTTTTATCTAATTTATTAATTAAAATAATTAATAGAAGAATTTAGAACATAATCGGAGCAGAAACTATTATTTTCATATAAATTTTGCAAAAAATTATGAAGATTTCATATTAATTTTTTTTTTAATTGAAATTTTTTTTATTGAAGTGATCAAAATTAAAATTCCAGGGATAAAAGTAATAATTGCATGAACGGTATTATTAATTATCATGTCTTTCAAAGGTTATTGTTTCACTTTCCTTGCTCGAAACACATGCCACTCTGAATAATTATATGCATTTCGCGCGTGGCCGGTAAACTGCAAAAAACTTGCGGATGTTTGCGTTGCTGCAGCTGTTATGTAACTCTTTAGAATTAGTGGCCGGGGCCAAGTTAAATGAGCGGTTTGAAAAGAGTAATGTAATGTGTTGCACAAATATTTAAAAAAGTCTCTTCTTTTTCGCGTCACCAGGATTATTAGGATTGGCCTTCTCAAATATTTTGGCGGGCAACCAACGAGGTTAACAAAAATAAATATATTCTCTTAATAAAATCAGAGTGTTACGGATAAATTTGAGCAACATTATTTATTTATACATCCGTAATTGCAATAATAATCGATCGCCGTCACCAACAGGCAATTTCAAAAACCAGGAAAAACTTTTGCATACACTTGATGTAACTATAAAGAAGCGCTGCGAGCGAGCGAATAATTAAAGCAACTTGCGAGCAGCCTTGATCGTGGATAAATTGCAAAGTGCACACATTCATACACGTCGTTGTTAGGCGGACACCTTGATCTTGAACGGCTATTCAAAGAAAGAAAGCATTGGAAGCGGCGCAGAGGTTAATAAACACTCAATATCGCGCTCATGTAGGAATAAAACAATGGAATTTTTACTGTAAATAATTAATAAAGCATTATTTTTTTTTCATAGGCTTGGATTTGAATAGGAAAAGAACCAATTTGTGGTTTTAAAACTTTTAAATGGAAATTCTCTATAGTTTTTGTTTCTTAAATTTAATTAATTAAAATGATAATGTTAATTTATATGCTCAAAAATTATAATATATAATTTTTTCCGATTTTTTCAAAAATTCTGCACAAAAACAATAAACGAGGAGCTTATGATGTTATGATGTCTACAAAGAAATTCCAACTTCAGAACCTTTTGCCATGATTGTAAATTTTGTACGTCGACTGACCCCATTGATTAGATTTTACCATCTTAATTGGGGTGATATGAACGTGATTTGGTGAAATTTTCACCAATTTTAATCAGGCAATTTAAGCGGGAAAAAAATCCAATAAAAAGCAATGTAAATTTTCCAAAAATTCAGTTCTTTCAATAAATTAAATACTCTTTGGAACTGACATCTCGAAAGCAATACTAATTAAGAGAAAATTCACCATAATCAAAATTAATTGGACAGTTTTTTCTTTTTTTCAAAAGCCCCTCCGAAATACTGAAAAATCACAAGATTTTTACAGAAAAATGTCAACAGCAGTCTCTTTTCTTTTTGTTGAAGGTTTCAGTCCAACGCATTATTTATATTAATTGAGCTGATTTTTTATAAAGAAATTTAAATTTAAATGAATTGAATAGCAAAATTAAAATACATTTTGATCGAATTTCTAGGAATGCCATGATATTGAGAGCGACCGTGGTGCTGACGTGGGCGACGGTGGTGCTGATTTGCAGCGAAGGATCGCACGGCCAGTCTCGGATGGGCCTGTTCGAGGCGACCATCGAGGCCGTGTCCGAGGGCACGCGTTTCATGAACAGCAACCCTCGCGACGCGGAGCCGCTGCGGCGCCGATACGACTTCATCGTGGTGGGCGCGGGCACGGCCGGCTGCCTCTTGGCCAACCGGCTCAGCGAAAACCATTCGGTGCTGCTGGTCGAGGCCGGACGCGACGAGAGCTTCATCATGGACGTGCCCATCCTGGCCAACTTCTTCCAGCTGACGCAGACCAACTGGGGCCACAAGACGATGAAGCAGGACTCGGCGTGCCTCGGCCTCAAGAACAAACAGTGCAAACTGCCCAGGGGCAAAGTGCTCGGCGGCTCCAGCGCCATCAACTACATGATCTACACCAGGGGCAACAAACTCGACTTTGACCGGTGGCGCGACCTCGGCAACCCTGGCTGGGGCTACGACGACGTCGCGCCCTACTTCAGGAGGATCGAGGACGTGCAAATTCTCAGGTTGGAAAACATTGAAATGAACAAAATTTTGAATAATTGTAAATTTAACCATTTTTTAAATTTGTTATGTTCGTAATTAATTTGTTATTAATCAGGCTCAAAAATTAAACTGACCTCCAGCAGAATCAGAAAGAAATCTGGCTAGTTAACTGGTTTTCAACATACCTGCAACAAAACAAGAAAAATGATTAGAAACAATTAAAAATCTATAGCATTATTAGTAAAATAATTGCATTTCATTAACTTGTGTCAAATTTATCTAATTAAAATTTCATTTGCTTAAAAGTAGATAAAATATCCTGCAAAAGGTTTTAAAATCCTTCAATTTTAAATGGAATACAAATAAAAACTCAATTTCTAATTTTCAACTTTTTCAACTCATCGGAACAGATCATTTTCAGTTTTTTCAAACGCTCTATTTTAAAATAAATGACAATTTCTAAGCGGCTGGTTTAAAAAAATTTAAAAGTATAATTCCGATGCAAAATGACAAAGCGAATCTTTCGGCTATCTTGGATTTTTTCTCTGGTGGAATATTTTCAAGGGGCATAAACCTTTTTATTTTGACCTTGAGCCAGGTTCAATGAACTTTGACCTACAATGCCTTGGTTCATTAGCTCAAACCTCCTACAACAAAAATTAAAAAATCGGTTTACCAAAAATTAATTTGGCAGTAGTTTTTTTAAACTCTTTTTTTTATCTCCATCGGCCATATTGGAATTTAAAAATTTGTGAAGATTTTTAATTAGTTCACTATTATAATAACAAAAAATTTAATAATCATGAAATTTGTTTGCAGAAATCAATTCATTCCAAGAGATTAAAAATTTACTTGCTATTGCAAAAAAAAATAAGTTTTTCAACTCTTTTAAAAAATTTACACCCATTTTTTTTTACTATCAAAATGATCCTCATGGCCTAAACTATTGATTTTTGTGGTTGTTTCATCCTCTTTAAATAATTTCATATGAATTTAAAAAAAAACTTAATTTATACTTTAATTAAAATTATTCCATCAAAACTTTCAGAAACTTCAGCATTCGCGGCGCCAACGGCCCCCTGACCATCACTTATCCGCCTTGGCACACCCCTCTGGCCGAAAGCTTTCTGGCGGCGGGCAAGGAAATGGGTTACGACATTGTTGACTACAACGGCGACACGCAGACGGGCTTCCAGTTCATCGAGACGACCATGCGAAACGGCACCCGGCTCAGCTCGAACCGCGCCTTTCTCATGCCAGTGCGCAACCGACGCAACCTGCACGTCAAGAAGTTCGCCACGGTCAGCAGGGTCATCATCGACCCCGGCACGATGCAGGCCCAGGGCGTCGAGTTCCTCAGGGACGGACGCCCCTTCAAGGTTTTGGCCTCCAAAGAGGTCATCTTGTCCGCCGGCGCCCTGGGCACGCCGCCCATTTTGATGCACAGCGGCATCGGCCCTGCCAAGCACCTGCGCCAGTTCGGCATTCCTGTTTTGAGGGACCTCAAGGTCGGATACAACCTGCAGGATCATCTCTCGGTGGCCGCCCTCACATTCCTCATCGACAAGCAGGTAAAAACGAGAAAAAAAATCATTAACTGCCAAAGATACAGTCTGTATAAAAAAATGAATTAAATTAGGGGTGGGTCCGAATATCAGAGAAACGATTCTCGAAACGATTCTTTAGAAACGGTTCTCAAGTAAAGATTCTCGCGCAAGGATTCTCCAGGAAGGTTTCTGCCTTTAAAATTCAACTAAATAATTGTCCTTGTGCGAGAACCTTTTCGTGAGAATCATTTCTCCATAATATTTTCTTGAGAATCGTTCCATGAGAATCTTTTCGAGAATCGTTCCTCTGATATTCATACCCACCCTAGGTATTTTTATTAAATAAATTAAATTTAAATGGAGGTAAAATATTTCAGTACAAAATTATGAGAAAAATCAGCAGATTTCACTACTTTAAAATAAATTTAATTTCAGGTTTCGCTGAAGAACGACCGGATTTTGAACGACGAGAAAATGATGATCGAGTTCATGGCCTATCACCAGGGCCCGATTTCCGTTCCTGGCGGAGTTGAGGCCATCAGCTTCATCAACAGCAAGTACAACAACAACACGGACTACCCTGACGTCGAGTTGTTGTTCGTCGCTGGCTCGATGACCAGTGACCCGACCTTGCACACATGCCTCGGTCTGCAGGACGAGATTTACAACAAAGTTTACAAACCCATCGAGCAAATGGACGGATTCACGATTTTCCCTCTCATTCTGCGACCCAAGAGTCAGGGCAGGGTCATGCTCAGGTCAGCCAACCCCATGAAGTTGCCGCTCATCCAGCACAACTACTTGACGGCTGAGGAAGATTTGGATGTAAGAAATCTTATTCAAATTTATTTTGTTCAATGAATTTTATTTATTAAAAATAGGTTTATTTTTTTATCAATATTTTTGTAAAAAAAAGTAAATGAAGTAAAAATCGTCAAATAATTTCCAAAATTTTAAATTAAGTCATTTATTTGTAATGAAATGATTATTAATTCCAATGGAAATTTCAGATTCTGGTTGAAGGCGTGAGGGCGTCGATCAGGGTGGCCGAGTCGCAGGCCTTCAAGCAATACAACGCGCGTCTGCACAGCATCCCGATTCCCGCGTGCAGAAGTTTCGCGTTCAACTCGGACGACTACTGGCGCTGCACCATCCGCCAGCTGACCATGACCTTTTACCACCAGTGCGGCACGGCCAAAATGGGCCCCGCCACCGACCCCGAGGCCGTCGTCGACCCTGAGCTCAGGGTGTACGGCGTCAAGGGTCTCAGGGTGGTGGACGCGTCCATCATGCCCTTCGTGCCGACCGCCCACACCAACGGCCCCGTTTACATGATCGCCGAAAAGGCCGCCGACATGATCAGGGACGCGTGGAAGTAAAATGAAAAACAAAAACCTGCGACTGATAAAAAAAAATTGCCATTGAATGGGCGGGCGAGTCCCTTTGATACGATTGAAGACAGTTCCTGTTGTACTGATTTTAATTTTTAACGCACTCTTGTCAAATATGATTGTTTTATAATTTATTTTGTAAATGAGATTTGTCTTCAAATCTTTCAAGACTTTTTGTATTAAATGGTTTGATAAAATAAATTGAAATAATTATGAAATAAATACATTATTCTTATTTGAATCAAACGGTAAAGAATCTTAAGCCTCATAGTAAAGAAAAATTACACGATTTCGCAATTAAAAAAATACTGCGATTTCATAAATTCCGCTATGAAAATGACGCGCGCTATAAATATATGCAAAGTGCCGCAAGTGACTTGTAATAACTCTCTAGGCTGGCGCTGCTCGCAGCAAAGATGCGTCTCTTGCAACGCAAAACCACGTGCTCGCTCCAGAGCAGCGGCTTCGATTCCACAGCCGTTATTCATCCTTGGCCAATAAAGGGTTTCGCGCCCAGATATATAGGGAGGCAGTGCAGATCAACAACTCTTAGTTTGTTTCTAATGCACCTGCCTGCACATACATGGCCACAGTATGGTAAGACGATCCAGAAATACATGTAACTGGTTTTCATTATCATCAAATAATATTTCATCTGTGCTCTATTAATTAAAATAACGCTTTTACATAATCAGATTTGTTACTTAAATTTCAATTACAAGTTAAATGTGTAAATGTTTTGAATGGAGCATAAGCTGATACAATTTCTTATCGATTTTGTTTTTTTGTTGTAATTTTTCTCAAAAATGGAAAATAATAATAAAAAATAATGGATCTATTTGTATTTTCATTTAAAATTAGAGAGATCGAAGAGTTATTTTTATTAAGGAGAATTTTCATTTTGCAATTTGAGATTGTTTAATTTGAACAGTTATATATGTATTTTAGTTATATAATTGTATATAACATTAATCTAACATAAATTGCAATAAAAATATTTTTTTTAATTTTATGTATTATTATTTACATGGTTACAAAATAATTTTATTACTTCAAAACTAATAAATTGTATTATTTTATAAATATCTTTAAAAAAAAATAAAGTTTATTAATAAAATTTATATTATTTTTATTAAAATTATTGTAATATTTAGTTAATAAAAATATACAAGGTTTTTAAAAAAAGGTTGGCTATTGAATTATTTATCTGTTGTTTTCAATATAGTAGTTAAGTTATATTTTATAGAAATCTTACAATAAAATTATTTTCTTAAATAATTATTTATTATTAATTCAACTTTTAAAAATCAATAAATTTTGCAGATGAAACACAGAGAATTTTTTTTTAGCAATTTTGATACTTTTTTTTAATAATCTAATAAAAATAAACTAAACAAAATTAAATTTTTTTTATTGTTTCAGGTGAGGGGCAAGTGGACGGTGCTTGTTATTGCCACACTTTTGTCCCAAGTGTCAACGTTGAACCTGAATTTGCTCGAATCGACAATATCTCAGCACAGAGATCTCATCAGAGACCCCGAGGGCCTCCCTTACGACACCCCCACCAGCAAATTATGGGATGAGTACGACTTTGTGGTGGTGGGGGCGGGCACGGCCGGAAGCGTGGTCACCAACCGGCTGACCGAGGTGCCCAAGTGGAAGGTTATTTATTACTATTTAATTTTTTTTTGTCAGGCCAAGGCCAAGACATATGTCTTGGCCTATCTTATTTTTATTAGGGTATTTGTTTTTATATTTTATTAATTATTAGGTGCTGCTGCTGGAGGCGGGTCGCGATGAGCTGAGGGCGACAGACGTGCCCGTGTTCGCGGCGCACTTCCAGCTGACCGACTACAACTGGGGCTACCGCGCGCAGCCCCAGAAGGACGCGTGCCTCGCCTTCAAGGACCAGCGGTGCGCGTGGCCCCGCGGCAAGGGCATGGGCGGCACCAGCATCATCAACTACATGATTTACACCCGCGGCCACCCCAGGGACTACGACGGCTGGGAGGAAATGGGCAACCCTGGCTGGGGCTGGAAGGACGTTTACAAGTACTTCTTGAAATCTGAAAACGCGAACCGAGATTTGGCCGACTCGGAGTTTCATTCGACAGGAGGATATCTGGACACGGCTCATTTGCCCTACAGGTCAGAATGGATATATCAAATAAAATTTTTTATTATTATTTTTCTCATGATGTTTTGGACTTTTATAATTTGCTTGTGAAAGAGGGCGGAACAATCTCAGGAAAGAAAAATTCTCTACAAAAACTGGTATTTTAAGCCATTAGGATCAAGAAATTAGGGGTGATCGCATAATATTTTTTGTAAACTTTAATTGAAGGTTGAAAATGTCTTTTTTTTTGTAAATCAAGCTTATTTTTTTAGCACACGGGAATATTTAATTACCGCAAATATAATATCTTAGCTCATATTTTCGTTTTGAGTGATAAAGTTTATTAATATTTTTGACAAAGTCTTATACGACCGCTAATTTAAGGGTTTATTGTACTCTGCTGTCAAATTACTTCTCGAGATTTCATATTCTCGGTAGAAGCTTGGAACTATTTTAACCAATTTTAAATGTCAAGGGTGTTTCATTGACCCTAGCAAAAGAAATAAAGCAATATTTTTCTGCCCATTTTGATTATTATGGAAATTGAAAAAATCTGATAGCATGTCTTTTTACATTAATGAAAAAATTTAATTTTCAAAATCATTTTGCTGCTACGTTGGCAAAATTTAAATAATTAGAGTTATTATTGTGATATTTTTGTCAACATATTGATACGTCAGTTGAAATCCTCTGGAAATATGATTTTTTTTTTATTACTGTTTTGTAGATTTATTTATGCAATTTTTTAATATAAATGTTAATTATTCAAAACTTATCTTGATTACCAATTTGAAAACAATTTTTGAATAGATTTTATTGAATTAAAATATGAAGTAATTCAATATATTTTTCAAATTTCAGCACGAAATTGATCGACTCGTTCATGGAGGGCGGCAAAGAATCTGGTTTCGACACGGTCGAGTACAACTCGGGCGAGCTGCTGGGCTTCTCGAGGCTGCAGGTGACGCAGCGAAACGGCGCCAGGTGCAGCGCCAGCAAGGCGTTCCTGCGGCCGATCCGCAACAGGGCGAACCTGCACGTGGCCAAGGAGGCGCAGGCGACCAAGATCCTGATCGACCCGGCGACGAAGCGCGCGTGGGGCGTAGAGTTCCAGCGCCGCACCGGCCGACACGTGGTCAGGGCGCGCAAGGAGGTCATCCTGTCCGCGGGCGCCATCGACACGCCCAAGCTGCTGATGCTGTCCGGGGTGGGGCCCAGGGCGCACCTCGAGTCGCTCAACATCTCGGTGGTGCACGCGTCGCCGGGGGTGGGCAACAACCTGCAGGAACACGTGTCCATGAGCGGCCTGACCTTCCTGGTCAACGACACGGTCGCCCTGACCGAGGAGCGGCTGGCCAAGCTCGAACCCTTCCTCCAGTACGTGAACGAGGGGAGGGGGCCGCTGACCCTGGCCGGAGGGGTGGAGGGGTTGGGCTACATCCGCACCAAGGCGGCCGACACGCCCCTCGACTACCCTGACATCGAGTTGATCTTCGCCTCGGGGTCGCTGAACTCGGACGACGGCCGGGTGGTGCGGAAGGGACTGGGGATGACGGACGAGGTCTACGACGCCGTCTTCAAGCCCATCAACAGCAGGGACGCGTGGACCGTGTGGCCGATGGTGCTCAAGCCCAACAGCAGGGGGTGGGTGCGTCTGAAGAGCAACAACCCGCTCGCCTGGCCCGTAATGTACGGGAACTACTTCGACGACCCGCGCGACCTCGAGTCCATCGTCGAGGGCATCAAGTTCTCCATCAAGCTGAGCGGCACCGCGGCCTTCCAGAGGTACAACAGCACCCTGCACGACATCCCCCTGCCAGGGTGCGTCCAGTTCGAGTTCAACACGGACGACTACTGGCGATGCGCCGTGCGCCAAGTGACCACCACCCTGCACCACCAGTGCGGAACCGCCAAGATGGGGCCCAAGAGCGATCCGGACGCGGTCGTCGACCCTGAGCTCAGGGTGCACGGAATCAAAGGGCTCAGGGTGGTCGACGCGTCCATCATTCCCAGGATTCCGGCGGCGCACACCAACGCGGTTTGTTTCATGATCGGAGAAAAGGCGTCGGACATGATCAAAAGTTCTTACGGAAAATAATAATTTATTTATTTAATTAATTTGAATTTATTTATTTATTGTAAGTGAAAGAGACTGGCATCAAAAAGACGCACTATAAAGTTTTCAAACTAGACTGATGTAATCGTTGATTGTACAGCAAATAAACTGAATGGTATGCAACCTGCTTGTCTTTCACGTGTTTTAATTGCAGAACTATCAGTTGATTAAAATTTTGTAAGCTTTTTTAAGTAAAATTTCCATTCATTTGTAATTAAAATAAAAGGAGATTCTGTCTTATTTTAAATTTAATATAAAAAAAGTAAAAAGAGTAACAAACTTGGCCACAAATAGCAGAGTGGTCATCGAATCTCTAATCTCATTGGCAGATTACACCAGGAAGCAAATCCCTTCATGGTCACTCGCATTCAATTAGACTGAGCAATTCTCCTAGCAAACAAAACATTAATTGAAAACTTCCTTTAATTCCCTTTCAATATATTTAATCAAATTAAACTATTTTTTATTTAAACCTTCAATTTTTAAAAGTTATACATAATATTAAAAATTGCAGTAAATTGCAGTTTCAAATTTAAATAGATTTTCAAAATTTAAAAAACAATTTTATTTTTCTTTCATTTTTAGAGAGAATTCATTATATTAAAACCAAATTAAATTCTTTTTCATTTTAATATTCATAGATATAATTAATATTTAAAATATAATATTTCAAAAAAATGAAGTATTGCTGTTTGAAATTGAAATAAATTTTCAAATTTTTTTTACTTTTAAGCGCATTTTAAATTATGTTTAATTTATGTTGTCTGTTCTGTAACTTGTTTTGGGCTGAGATGACCTTGTGGCAAACCAACTTCATCTGCAACTAAAATCATGTACGCCAGTCTAAATTTGACGCAGGTTGGCGTGCGCACAGTCAGAGAAGAAGTTTTTTTTTATAAATTAACTGCCCAGCCAATGGCTTAGAAAGGGATTACAACGAAGTGGGTGGGGGTGGTGGTTTAGCTCGGCGAAAGGGGAAAGAACTATTTAAATAAAGGCGATGATGCTGGGGGGCGCGCCCTCCTAATAAAAGATTCAACGAGCTGATAGATCACGCACTTGCTGGGCTTCGGCAATAAATAAATGCACCTTCAAAAAATTAAATGTGTTCGTTTTCAAGAGCTCGAGTCAACAGGGCGAGTGAGTAAAAGTAAACTGGCCAATTTTTCTAATAAATAAAAATACAATAATAATAAAGAGGCGACTTAAAATTAATTAATTTGATGAACCTCAAATTTGGATTGTTAAATTTGAAAGAACTTGAATTAAATACAATCCAAAGTGATGATTTAAAATATTTTTTTTTTACTCTAATTTGAGCTAAAAACAAATTACTTTGAGATTGACAATTTCATAAATTAATATTTTTATTAATATTTTACATAGAAATTAAAAATTTAAAAAAAAAATTCAATTTATTCCAACGAATGGAATTTTTATTTATTATTTATTTATTTTCCATTTCCCCTGTGTTGAAAATTCTATGAAAATTTAATATTTTGCAACGCATGAAAGTGCTTTTCGTGGTAAATCTTTAATTCCTTAGCAATTGAATACTTGGAATTTTACGGCTCACTTTGGACATTGGATGATAAAATATTTATTTCGCCGGCTCGAACTGTGCTAGTGGAAAAATCCATTACAATGCGGGCCGCTCGCGAAGAACAACAGGGGCTCGGGCGATAATGGAAAAACAAGTGTCACGTCTTTTTTCGGAAGTTAATGTTGTTGAGGTCTTTGCGGCCGCGCGTCTTTTCAGTTTAGAAAATTATTTTGTCTTAGATTTTGGTCGAGTGTGGCAGGAGAATCCGGGCAAGTGCCTCCTTTCAGACAACAATGTGACTCTCGAGGGGCAGGCAAAATAGTGTAAGACGGAAAAAATAAGGCTTCGGGATTATTCACCCATTTCAGTGTTAACTAATTCAATGGCAGCGGCAGTGCGTCAAACCAACCAACTCGAAAACAGTTCTCGTCAAACTCTTTTCAAACTGAGAAGAAAATGAATTAAATTGCAGTCAAAATTATTAAAAATTAAAATTAATTCATAGCTCAGTTTAATCATTACAAAAACTAGTGAATATTTAAACAAATAAAATGAATAAATGGAATAAACATTGCAATATTATAATTATAGCTATTTTTCCTATTTTTTATTAATATAAATTTACAATAAAATTGTTAATTTTATAAAAATTATATTCTATTTTTTACTGTTTTTATATTTAAATTTCATTATTTTAATTTAAAATCAATAGTTATAAATTAATTATCAATATATTAAAATTTTTTTTGGTTAAATTTTTAACATACAAATCTTAGAATAAAGTAAAAATCCGAAAATCTCTTATCCTTTTTAAAAAATTTACTCAACGTCATGTCTCAAACTTTTATTTTTTGTCTTTTTTTGCTATTTTATGATCACCAAAATAAGGAACTTCCAGCAAATTAAAAGATTAAAGATTTAATTCAATAAATATTAAATAATATAAATAATATTAATTTGTTTGGTTGCGACACCACCATTGAAGTACAAAGAGTTTTATTGTTAGTTTTGGCCTGGCCAAAAACAGACATGCAGTTAAGAATCTTAAGTTGTTCCTTGAATAGAAATTGAGCTCAACCTCAGGTTTAAACCACTCCATTTAACCGCTAACATTAATTTTAAATTTTATTCATGATGATTAATTTTTAATTTGTATTGTTTATCCACTGATTCTGGCTTCCTTTAACAATTTATTTTACTCTAGCTTGTTAATAATCTAGTTTTATTAATAAAAATATTCAAATTAAGCTTAAATTTTTTTCTCCACAAATTTAAATTATTTTGTTCCAACAATTTTAACAAACCACAAATTAAGTTGTAAGTATTTAAGGAAGTAAGATAATTTTGTTATTGAAAACCTCTCTGAAATTCAAGGTCGAGCGAGGAATTTGTCTGCCTAGAGGCGATAAAATTAAATACATATTTGACTGAAGATAAAACATTTATTTTCGTCTCTGAAATAAGAATTTCTTCCCCATTTCTATTTTCTATTTTTTAGTAATTTTAATTCAGAGGCGTTTTTGCAGCAAAGCACGCTGCGTGTTATTGATTCAAAAACAAACTCTCAAAAAATAATCAAAACAAAAACCCCGGGCCGGTCGCGAGGGTGGGAGTGTCGGTAATTTTCGGACGCCACGACTCTCGGGCGTTCTCCGACGCAACCACACCCCGGCAAGTGACCTCGCGCGGCCGAAACGCCTCGCAAAGTCGGCCGGCGACGAGGACACACTTCGGGCCAAACAAACACGCACGAACCTGAGACAATGAGGGCCTCGTTGGGGCCGACGGTGTAGATATTGCCCATGCTTGTTGCACTTGACTGACACGCACTCGAACACGGCCCACTTGGCACCGCAAACTTGGCTTGGACGCGGCCGGCCGAATCGCAAAAATCGTCCGAGAGACGAAAACTGTCAAAACACGGCACTACAGTTTGGACGCAGGCACGGAGACTAAAGAGGAGGAGGCGGCACGGCGGCGGCGCGAGGGGCAAAAGACCCACACCCCCCGCCAACACTCCATTGCGTCATATTTTACCCCTTGCGCCGGCAGAGGCGCCGTTTTCCGCCTAAAATAACCAATGCCAATTACAATGTACAATGTACGTACAAAGTTGTATGTAAATAAAATTATTTTACGTACTCCCTTTTTTATTTTCTTATTAATTTGATTACGCTTTTTTGCATGTTTATATTCTTTGTTTTAAATTATTGACCCTTTCATTATTAATATTATCATTTTGTTTGTAAGAATTAAAATTTATAAATTACCAGATTATTAATAACTAAAATTTGAATACAGAATTACTTTTCGTATTTTGCCGGCGAAGTCAATCAACGGCAAAGAGCCGGCAAACTGGTGCTGCCAACATAACAAATTTCGTTCAGTTTTTCTGCTCTTATTATCATCGCTATCATGATAAAAACTAAGTTTTTTTTATTACAAAACCTCTTTATAATTATCTAAATATTAAGATTAAATTAATCTTACTTTGAATTACGTTGCTGACATAATCATACGAAATAATTCAATCAAATTCAATATTCACGTTGGCCAGCCTGGTGCATCCATGATCGTCCGTCAGTCACAACAGCCTTGTTTATGTACGCTGCAGGAATCTAATTTTCTCAATTTCCGCCCCGCATAATCACGTTTCCCCGTCTTTTCCGCCAAATTCTGCAGCTTGAAGTACCTTAGGTGAGTATGCAAGAATTTCCTTGCACAATATTTGCCCGTGAAAAAGTGTAATTTATGCGAAACGACTGCATCCTGATCCTATTTCTGTTGATTGATGCACTTTCCCTCGCTCTGACTGGAATCGTTTTATGCACATTTTCCTGCATGTTTTCCGTTTAATGCAAGCCATAACCTATTTTATTGTTTTAAGAGAATGGGAGACACGAGTGACCTGGACCGGCAGATCGAGCAACTCAAGAAATGCGAAATCATTACGGAAAACGAAGTCAAGGCTCTCTGTTCGAAGGCCCGCGAGATTCTGGTCGAGGAAAGCAACGTTCAGCGCGTCGACGCCCCGGTCACTGTAATATCACTTTAATTTAATTCTGAATTCAAATTTTCAATACCTGATGCCAATTTGCAGGTTTGCGGTGACATTCACGGCCAGTTCTACGACCTGAAGGAACTCTTCAAGGTCGGCGGTGACGTGCCCCTGACCAACTATTTGTTCATGGGAGATTTTGTGGACCGAGGATTCTACAGTGTTGAGACGTTTCTTCTCCTCCTAGCTCTTAAAGTGAGAATTAATTATACAAAAATCATTTAAAGTTACTTATTGTTGTTTCAGGTAAGGTACCCTGACCGAATTACTTTGATTCGTGGAAACCACGAGTCGAGACAAATCACACAAGTCTATGGCTTCTACGACGAGTGCTTACGAAAATACGGAAGCATCACAGTTTGGCGCTACTGCACAGAAATATTTGACTACCTGAGTCTCTCAGCAATCATTGATGGAAAAGTGAGTTCAATTGTTCCATCTTATAATTTTACTTTAATTTTAATAGGCAATGTGAGCCTCTGCTTATTTTAATTTTTTTTTTTTATTATTATTCTTAATTATTCACATAATTTTGTGTTTAGATCTTCTGTGTTCATGGAGGACTGTCTCCTTCAATCCAGTCACTCGATCAGATCCGAACGATTGACCGAAAACAAGAAGTTCCTCACGACGGACCCATGTGCGACTTGCTGTGGTCAGACCCTGAAGACACCCAGGGTTGGGGCATCAGTCCTCGTGGTGCAGGATACCTCTTTGGCTCTGATGTTGTCGCCCAGTTCAATGCCACCAACGACATCCAGATGATTTGTCGAGCCCATCAACTGGTGATGGAAGGCTACAAATGGCATTTCAACGAGACCGTGCTCACCGTTTGGTCTGCACCAAATTACTGCTACAGGTGCGTAATTAAATCATATAATTTGAAACCATTCAATTTGAGTTTAAGATAAAAGTTATGAATAAAGAAATTTCTTAAGGACTCCTTATTGCAATGCTAAGAGTACCAAAGAGGTTTTTTTTATTGCACATATGCCCAATGTTAATTTTTTGCCCCATGAACCCTCAAATTTTTTTCTGCTAATCTTTTTAAGGTCATTCGCTTATCATTTTGTGAAATTTTGAGCAAAAAATTTCGGGCAGTTTTTTTTAATCACCAAAAACAAAAATTTCCATAAGACGTAATGTAAAAATGCAAAAAATCATATTTCAAGAATAATCGGCGCTACCCCCCATTTTTCTTTGTGCAATCAACTCTACTGAAAGGTAGGAATCTATAAAAAAAATCTGGGTCCAAAAATTTCGGGCCGATTTGCCGCAAACAGGAGTTGAAGATGTCAATAAGCAGGCCTTAATTCATTACTTTCAAATTAAATATGTTTTGGGAAAGAATTTGTAAATAAATAATTTAAAACTAATGATTTATTTATAATTATTCTAGATGTGGAAATGTTGCTGCAATTCTGGAACTCAATGAAAACCTGCAGAAGAACTTCACCATTTTCGAAGCCGCGCCGCAAGAGAGTAGAGGCATCCCGTCAAAGAAACCGCAAGCCGATTACTTTTTGTGAAGCGTTTCCGATTCGCCAAAAACATTGTCATAATTTCATTCGCTGATGTTCTCAACAGTTATTTTTTGTGTATAATAATATAGCATCAATATCACTAGACATACTATTCTGACATGAAATTATTTCTCATTTAGCCGATGGTGAAATTCGGTTCAAATGTGAATTCAATCTACTGAAATTTGCAAACAAATCATTTGTATCCTGACTGACGAAGGCTAAAAACGCATGGATCGATACTTCATTCAATTTTTTGAAAATAAAAGCCAGAAAATCGTAACTCAACAAATAACAGTAGCTTTTTTATTGTTACAAAAGCTCTTGAGCCACGATGCTCATTACTTCCCCGCACTTGCTGTTTATTTTGAACGTTGCTACATTGTCTCCAAAAGAAGGCCCGATGTTGATCAAACCAATCGGAATACCTTTTTTAAAAGCGTATTCGACGTGGTCTCTCCCAGACCGTGTGTGCAAGGTTGAACCGAGCACCAACAATGAATCACATTTTTCCAGTTCTTGCCTCACTTCATCTTTCTTTCCAAGAGGTAAATTTTCCCCATAGAAAACAACGTCGGGTTTCAAAATCCCAGACCCGCATTTTTCACATGCTGGTACTTGGAAATTTTGAGATACTTCCTGCAAACATAATTATGTCAAAATTTGAACCAATAATTATTTTGAAATTCTCACTTTGCTAAGTTCGATGTCACCATCCGGCCTCAGGGCAGCGGCCTCGAAATCCAGGTTAATGAGGCTTTTATTTGCCTTTGTCAGAATTTCTTGAAAGTGACATCTGTCGATAATATTTTCACAGCCCATGCACCGAACTTCAAAGAGGGTGCCGTGAAGTTCGATGATTTTCTTGCTGCCAGCTTTCTGGTGCAGCCTGTCCACGTTTTGCGTCACCAAGCAGCCGATTTTTCCTCGGTCCTCCCAGTTTGCAAGAGTGTAGTGGGTGATGTTCGGTTTTCGCTGCGTCTGATAATTCCAGGCTGTGAAACTTCTCGCCCAGTAGATGCGACGGGTCGATTCCTTTTTCATAAAGTCCTGGTAATTTGTCGGCTTGAAATTGGGCCTTCGGGCAACTAGGCCGGTGCCTTCCGACCTGTAGTCTGGAAGGCCAGACTCCGTGGACACTCCTGCCCCCGTAATCACAAAGAGATTTTTGCTGCTCTGGACAAATTCGATGAGCGGTTCCACATCTTCACTTCGGACAGGCTTGTGCTGGGGAACGTAATTTATTGACGTTGCAAATCCTCTGGGGTGGTTGACAGAGAGGACTTCTGTAATTGGCGCTGAAGCGGACGCAACTCTGGATCTGGACAGGATCATTCTTCTATAAAGGCACGTCATTCTGAAAAAAATTAAATTATAAATTTATTTCTCTTTTTTCAGAAAAAGTTGACACAAATATACGCATATGTACACATACATATTATGGTTGATTTGTTAAAAATTTTGTCTAAAAAAAATTATAATAAGCAACACAACCACAAAGACAATTTCGGCAAGAATTAGGTATTAACCAAAAAATTTGAACAAAAGTGAGTAAAAAAAACATAATTACATAATAATATTCCGTTCCTATGCAATGCAACGAATGAGTTGACTTTTGTATGACGTGGGCGTCTCCCGTCTTGCAAAATCAAAACACACAAATAAGGGGGCGTGGTTTATCCAGTGTGTGTGACGTGTGTGTGTGTGTGTACTAGTGTACGAAAACAACGCACTACGCAGGGCAAAAGCCCACTCGCCCACTCTGTGTTATCATGCTAAAAAGGTCTTTAGGGTTAATTTTGAGCATCGAGATCGAAGAGCCGTAAGAAGGGAGAATTACATACATAGTTCCAGGTTCCAGACGCAGACCTCTCTCTGGCCGGGTCCGAAATGTCAAATCCTGATCTGAATCCCGGAATGAAATCCCGGTTTTCAAATCCTGATCTTTTTGTGGAATTAAGGTTTACAGATTTTTACCGTGGATCACTCAAAGATATTCGAGATCAACTTTTTCGAGTACCATCACCAGAAATTTGCATTCCACCGCATTAGGCCGACTTTGTTTTGGTTGCGTTTTGCCACCCAACTCGCCTCACTTGCCGACGCGGTTGATGTGACGCACGACAGGTGGCTCTGTCAGCAGCCGGCTGAAATCACCGAAATCACCCACCACAGGGTAGCGAGTTTCATCGTAAAATTTTGAAAATTTTATTTTCTTTTTTTAAAAAATCATAATTGAAAAATTCTTTCTCTTGCTAGAACAAGAAACCATCAATTTTTGGATCCAGTTCAAACATTCTGGCCCTTTGGCGGCTTTGGCCAATATTGCCTAATGCCAAATTTTCTTTTTCTTCCCGCACCAAAAAATATTTTCATTTTTGAACTACTCCAGACCGTTAGAAAAATAAGAAAAAAAAATTTAAATAAAAAAAATATTTATGATATTTTTTTTTTATTTTCATGTATTGTGAAAATATATTTCCACAAAAAAAACTGCGTGATACACAAAAATAAAAAATATCAAAATTTTTTGTTTTTAATTTTTTTTTTTTTTTCTTATCTTTCTAACGGTCTGGAGTAGTACAAAAACGAAAATTTTTTTTGGTGAGGAAGAAAAAGAGGCATTAGGCAGTATTGGCCAGATGGCCAGAATGTTTGAACTGGATCCAAAAATTGATGGTTTCTAGTTCTAGCAAGAGAAAGAATTTTCCAATTGTAATTTAAAAAAAAAAGAAAATAAAATTTTCAAAATTTTACGATGAAACTCGCTACCCTGTGGTGGGTGATTTCGGTGATTTCAGCCGGCTGCTGACAGAGCCACCTGTCGTGCGTCACATCAACCGCGTCGGCAAGTGAGGCGAGTTGGGTGGCAAAACGCAACCAAAACAAAGTCGGCCTAATGCGGTGGAATGCAAATTTCTGGTGATGGTACTCGAAAAAGTTGATCTCGAATATCTTTGAGTGATCCACGGTAAAAATCTGTAAACCTTAATTCCACAAAAAGATCAGGATTTGAAAACCGGGATTTCATTCCGGGATTCAGATCAGGATTTAACATTTCGGACCCAGCCTCTGGAAATTCTAAGTTCGCAAATTTTCCATTTAATTGGAACGGTCTCTCCTTATAACTGCGACAAGACTCACTTTTTGCATTTTTTGCTAGTGTTCCTGCGGCAGGCTAAATAGGTAACTTCTATTTATTAAAATAATTAGAAACCTGTACCTTCAAGTACTTTGGCAGATAATTTAAATATTCTCAGGATCCAAAATATTGACCTTGAAATGTGGCCTACGGTTTTGGTCCCTATTATTGACTGCAGTTCAATATATGTAATTAAAATTTTTATAGAAGCTTAATTAATTGGAGACGCGTTTTTCTCTCCGAAATAAAATTATTTTCTTTCAAATATAACCTTTTAGGACTGATTGTGAGACCAATGAGTAGAGTTTTTCTTGTTATTTTTTCGAATTGTAAATATTTTTGTTATAATTCTTGAGGCAACATTTCTTAACCTTCTAATCTAAATATTCTTATAAATTCAATGCAGTTAAATTAAAAAAAAAAAAAAAATTAAAATAACGATTCTCTATAAAACTTTTCAAAGATACCAATAAAGGTTAATTTTTCAAAATTATAGCTCCCAATTACAATCAGATGGTTCAGGTGATAATCATATTGGTTCTCACTTGGAGGCCAAAGCATATATGCCACCTATGCAGGTTTTAATAATTTAGCTTTTTCTTATTCTTTTCCTTTTTATTTTTATTTGTCTACGTCGAAAACTCGGTTAGTCATTGAGATTGATAAAAAAAAATTGCTCCATTTTGAATTTTTTATGTTTATTAATTATTTACTCCATTTATTATGAATTAAAAATTAAGTACAAATTTCGCAGTCACCTTTCGCAAAATCAAATTATGCAAATAAAGAAATTTTACGTTTAAAAGTGAAAATGTGCTAATTCAAATGACATCTCTTCAAAATCTGTTCCATTCTTCGAGTGTCGTCTTTGTAAGTCGTCAGTTCAAGCGCAGTTTTGCCCTCAATATCTTGAACCAAAGTATCAACGCCGTTTTCGATGAGCCACGAGAAACTTTCAACACGTCTGTTCTTAGCCGCGATGTGCAGCGCAGTTTCGTTTCTCTTTGTCTTTTTCTTAATCAGTTCACGATTCCTACTGTGCAAAAAGTCGAAGACCTCTTTATATTGTTCACTTTTAAACCCAAACTTCTGACGCCAATCAACTTGTTTTTTAAGAGCGGCAGCAAAGTGGATGGCGCTCCAGCCGTCGTCGTCCTCGGCATCCACTTCCAATCCCAATTCCTCCACCAACCATTGCCACACTTCTTTTGTTTGATACCCTTGAGCACAGTGGAGAACCGTTTGGTTCTTCTTTGTTTTCTGTTTCACCAGCTCTCCATTTAGCTCATGGAGGCGTTTCAAACTTTTAGCTGCATCATCAATATAGCAACCATTTCTTGTCATTAAGTGCATCGCATTTTCGCCATCATTCGTCACTTTGTTCGTTAGTTGTGGCCATTTTTCGTGAATATATTCGACCATTTCCATTTGTCCCCTAAAAGCAGCAAAGTGAAGAGGGTTCCATCCTCCATCGTCGACGGCTGCCTCATCCAACCTCAGGTCAACCAGCCATTTAAACGTTTCAAAACTATAATGTTGTGCAGCATAGTGGAGAACCGTTTTGTTAGCCTTTGTTTTTTGCGTAATCAGCTCTTTATGAAGTTTGTAGAATTCCTGTACAATAATTTCATCATCTGTACTCTTACCATCCAAAATAAAATGCATTTGATAGCTCATCTGAAAGCGTAAGCCACCTTCAATCCACAAGTGCATGATGTTTTCACAATTTTTCGTCAGTGACGTAATGAGGTTGGGCTGTTTCGTTAGAATGAAGGAGAAATTTTTTCTTAATCCTCTACTCGCTGCAAAATGAAGAGCGTTCCATCCGTCTATGTTTGCTGACGCCACATCTAAGCCCTTTTCGATGAGCCAAAGTTCTGTTTTCGGGTCTTCCCCGGTACAGAACTTTTTATTGACGAAAACATAATGGAGTGCCGTCATACCAAAATTCGTTTTCTGTTTTATCAATTCACTGTTTTTAACATGCAAGAACTTAAGTGTTTTTAAATTAGACCAAGTGGCTGCACAGTGGGCCACATTATACCCATTATTATCCACGGCGTCCAAGTCAACCCCATTTTCTAAGAGCCATTCAATGAATTTAAAATCGATTTCCCAACTTGAAGCAGCATAGTAATGAAGAATTGTTTTGCCCTTGCTCGTTTTTTGTTTGATAATCTCACTATCAACACTATGCAGATATTTGATGATTTGATGCGAGTTTCTTCTACCATAAGCAACTGCCAAGTGCGCAGCATTCTTCCCTTTGTCGGTCACAGATTTAATGATGGAATTGTCTTTTTTGTGTAAGAATTTGATAAGTTGCAAATCACTTCTTTTGGCTGCGTAATGTAAAACGTTCCACCCCCTTTCGTCCTTCGCACCAAGCTCATATTCCAAATCTTCCACCAGCCATCGGCACATGTCCAATCGGTAACAGTCATGATAACAATAGGCGTCTGCCGTTGCATGAAGAATATTCATGCCATTTTCAAAGAATATAGATTCTATAATCGTTACGTGTTCTTCGTGCAAATATTTGGCTAGTGATAACTGAAGATTTTCCACGGCATATCTGAAAATTCTCGAAGCCAATTCGGCGGCTGGCTCAGAACTAGTTTTTAGAAGTGCTTTAGCGGTGCTTACATGCATGTTGTTATGATGATGATACTCATGAAACAAAAGGTCAGAAAGAGCTTCAAAACATAAACTAGAAGTTCGGAATCCTTTTTGAATGAAAAGCTCGACGCACTCGAGACTGTTGTTATAAACGGCGATTAAAAATATTGTGCTTTGAGCCTCTTCATGGAGGTTAATAAATATCCATTCGGCAAGCAGTGTGAGGATGGTGCAATGATTTCTTTTAGCTGCAAGACACAATGCACCAAATAGATCTTTGTTTGTTTCTTTTGAGAACAAAAATTCATTCATCGACAATCCACTGGTTGAAAGATCGGGGTCATCAAAGGGAAATTTGGTGTTGGAAAAAATTTCTAGCAATTTTTCGAAAAGCCGTGCAAAATTATTTTCAATTGCACTTGCAAACATTTCTGCAATTGCGGATGCGCTTGAGTTTTGCAAGTTCTTGTATGCGTCTGAATCCAAGAATTTCAGGGCGATTTCTTCGCTATTTTTCCAAGCCTTTGTTAAAATTTCATCGTCATCGAAAAAATGAAATTTTCCTTTTCGGCCACTGTTTTCAAACGTGACCTCGTCTTCAACGAGAGAAAACATTCCCGGTAGGTTTTCTTCAATGATGACGTCAACGAGCTGCGACTTGGTGAGAGTTTCTTTCAATGAGGTTTTGATATTCGCTAATAGCTCAGGATTGTCCGTTGCACAAAATTTCAGATCAAGGAATTTTCTGACTTGTCCGAAATCATGTTTAAAGATGCCACAAGGCATTTGGTTTTCCCCACAATAAAAAAAATAGTCTGTGGCTAGATATTCTGCAAACGTTTGGTGGACAAAGTGGACTTTTCCATTGGAAAATGAAACGATACCGGTTTTTAAAATATCAGGATTAACTTTTTCCACTTCTTCGTGTTGAAGGTATTTCACAGAAAGCTTTTGCAGTTCCAATTTGCAAGTAAATATTTTGATTTTGTAACTTTCATTTTCTTTGAATTCTTTAAAAGCAGAACTTATTTTCTTCTTCACTATTTCTTCATAAATTTCATTCAATCCGATTACTTTTTTGATGGAATCATGGATTTCTGAGATCATGTTTAAATGCAACGGATTGCTAAGGATATCTCTCAATCCATTCTTTCTCAGGGCCTTCAACTGATTCTCACATTCCACTGCTTCTAGATGGGAATTCACTTTAAATAGCTCGACCTGCTGCCATTCATACAAAGGCAAAATTTGCACCCGGGAGAACTTATTTTCCTTCTCTAGTCTATTGATAATTGTCTCTTCTTCGTGCGGCCGTGTTGAAATCCAAATTGGCACCGATTCTTGTACAATGTCCTTTAAAAATTTCAGAACATCATCTCTACAATCTGGATGAATCTCGTCAAAACCGTCAAACATAATCATGATATTCTTTGACTCGATCAAATTTTTAATTTCTTCTTGGGGTATTCCTGTTTTTGTGGCTATCACCGAATATATTGACTTTGCCCTTGTATCTCTGTTGATTTTAGCGTCCGTAAAAATATGACTGACATCCGGGAGGTTTATTGTGAAAATCTTGAATCCATGTAAAGATCTGCGTAATTCAAAAGTGATTTCGCGCATCACCGTTGACTTCCCAGAGCCAGGAAGCGACGACAGAAGCCAAATCGGGTTCTTCTTAACATCCTTTGCGTGTTCAATTAATTTCTTGAATTCGATATCTTGCTCATCCTTTACATCATCAAGTTTCACCCGGAAATTAGGTTTGACGAAATAATGTCGGAAAAGCAAAAGATGCGGCAAAGTGGACACCATCATCGCTGCAGGAATTTCTGTTGCTTTTCTTTTCACGTGAATCAACAAGTCAGCGAGACAGTCTTGCAAGCTCCGCTCTCCATTTATTTCTTTGCTTTTAAATATCTCGATAAAATTTTGGATGAAATCTGTAAATTTTAGTAGATGTAAATACGTCATACGTCTTGCTTATTTGAAAATTATCACCTTTATTTTGAAGAATGAAAACGAGCCAGTCACTGTGAATGGTTGCTTTAGGGAAATCAATTTGCTGAGCGTTTTGCTGAAAAAAGTCAATTTTAAAAAATAATTATGTTCTCTAATTATGCAAATGCTTAGTATATAATACCGGCTGGCTGTCGCATAATGCTGCAGATATTTGATTTATTAGAAAGAAGAGTTTTGGTTTCCCGATCCAGTCCTTTGAGTCTGGTCCAAGCAATGAGTGAATTAAATCTCCAATCGGCTTTAGCTTGGTTTCACTCAGGTGAATGCAAATGTGGCCATCCTTGCGCGGCTCGAGTTTGGCGAAAAAGAATGCGGCGAAACAGCCGTACTCTTTCCACAACTTCATTGTTTCTAGTCAAATTAATATTTCAAAATTACCTAAATTAAAAAATAAAGTTTTATTACTTAGTTCCTCGAAGTGTGTTGTGACAGTGCTCGGCCCGAGCTTAACCATTTTGGTTACAAAACCCAGGTTGTTATTGAGATTCGACTGGAGTTTACATATCTCCTTGCCATTTTCTTGGTAGAAAATTACTGCAAGCTTTCCTCTCCAAGGTTCTTTTGATTCGGGATCCAGCCAATCAAAGTACACCGTCGGCTGCTTATTATTTACATTTACTGTATTTCCTATTCCGTCACATCCACTTTCTGAATGGTCCAAGCTCAACCACCTTATGGAGTTAGGACTTTAAAAACTTCTAAATACTAGAAGACACAAATATAAACGTACTGATTAGAAGTGCCAGAAAAAGTAAATTTCCTGTCACTAGGGTAAATTTTGAATTCTGGCGTTTGTCCCTCGTTTTTGTAGTTGTTGGTCGACTTTAAATGAATTCTGTTGTGCACCGCTGTCAGGAAATGCGCAATGCTTTCGTCCTCTTTCATCTCGTTCAGCTCCCGAGTCAAACTCTGTACAAGCCATGTGCCATTCGCTGGATCTCGTTTTGAAATCGTGGCTGGGACGAAATATTCAGAATTATAAACAAAAAATCTATTTTGCATTGCAATCTAAATTTACGGCCGTTCATTCATTTAAAGGCAATTTTTTATTTATCATCATTACTCCAACGCAGCTTGAAGAAAATGTTAAAAGTTTCTTCAGGTTTAATATTTTTAAAGTGCAGAAAATTTAAATATTGACCTTTGACATTTAAAGTTTGTCAATATAGTGGAAATACTGGAAATGAATACCTTACCTAAGTTCATTAACTTTCAACGTCCCACCAAGAAGACACTAAAAAATATCTCCACCGCAGCATTATTTTGATTTCAGTTTTAGTAAAACTTTTTTTTATCTCCCGGCGGTGATATTTAAATTTGAAAAATATTAAAATATTTTTTATCTCAAGAACATTATAATTAAGCTCATAATTTTTTTTTCAGAATTTCAGTAATTTTGAGCCAAAAATTAGCATGATTTTCTCAAAAACAAGAAAAATTAAAAATAAAAACTGTTTTTCCGCCTTCAGTAAAACTTTAAAAAAAAATACGCTGTATATGACCCTTAATTTTTGTGTGTGTCTAGTCGTAAGCCAGTTCAGCGTTTAGCAAGGACCTGTAGGTCACACACCTTTGACAACCCTCACCAACAACACATCTAAATTAGTATTCAGCAAAATATTTAATTTTAACATAAATTTAATAATAATGCTTAAATACCTTCAACAGTGGAGTAAAAAATGACCATGTTGTGCAGATTTGGATCAAATGAAACTTTACTTGAACTTTTTTCAACCTCGACTGCTTGTTGTTCACTTGAAGACTCAATAACTTTTTCCACGAGCTTTCCTCTGCAAGGCTAAAAATTGTGGTTATATCAGGCATGCTTTGGTGCGCTTTGATGTTATAATTTACTTTTTGGTTTTTTTTAAATACATACCCCAAGGAATGCAAATCTCAAAGAATTATGAAACGTTTTTTCAAATTTTTGAAATAAATCTTTGGTATTGAAAGATTCGTAATCATCGGGGCAAGTGCCGGTTTTAAAGTCTGTGTAAATCAGTCCATCCTTATCCCCGTGAGACAAGATGATGAAAATAAAAACCGACGGCTCTGAGTCTGTTGACACATATTTAATTTAATCATTCATATTCTTAGGAAGCAATATGCGTTACCATCAGACTCATAGACTTCCTTTAATTTACTCTCGTCGCCGAGCAAATCAAGGAGTTCATCCTTTCCACATGACACATCGTGAAATTGGCATTTCCGATCCTTCTCAAATGTTTCCTTCAGCATTTCAACATCTTTTTTGTCACCTGCTCGATACCAGCGTTCACCACCGCCCTCGAATTCGTAATGTGCGACCAACACAAAAACACTTTTCAAATTTGTTATTAAAAGGCAAAAGCAGGCATCATTTAATTAATTGAATTACTTGTCGGCGTTTTGATTTCCATCAGGTGTGTTAAAAAACCCAAGATTCGCAGAGATTTTTAATTTTTTGGAAGAACAAATTACCAAATCTGTTGAAACAGAATAAAAAAAATTTAATAAAAAGAAAAAACAATTAATAAAACCATCAAACAACCTTCCTCCGCAGCTCTCTTACTCATGGTGTTGCACCTTTTTGCTTTCACAATTTACGCGCTTCCAATGAGCTCGGAATCAATTCTTTTCTGCATATCCAGAAGTCCTTCCTCAGGCAGCTGCAATGTTATGCATAATTTCAATTATTTTATCATTAAATACCCAAAATAAAAATAAAAGATATATGTGAATGTTTTTAATGCTATTTCTCGTTTTTTTTTTTCAATTTTTTTTCTTAAAAGAAATTGTAATATTATATAAATTAGCATTAGCAGCAAAACGTTTTTGTAGAATTTATTGAGAGATATTTAAGCCAAAAACTCGGCTCAATGTACAAATGGTTCAGGGGAAAAATGGAAATCTTTTGAATGGATTATGACTAATTTGACCAATTTTGTTTAAATTTCATCAATATATTTCAAGCAGGTTTTATCATAATTTTTATTTTTTATTTTGACACCTGTTCTCAGTGGCCACAAAGAACAAAGTTGAAATGAATTATTTTGATATGGGAGTCTCAAATAAACCAAAAAAATCCATAATTAATTCTGGGAGTTTTGCAGAATTAGAATTGTTATAAGTAAAAAGGATAACGGGCATACTTTTCGTAAAAAAATTTTATTCAAAAATAAAAAAGGGTCTTAAACCTTAATCAAAACTGGTAGAGTTTTTTTTTTTTTATTATAATAATAAAAACACATTCTTCAGCAAGGACAAAAAGCCAATGTTTCCTCACTTCTATATATTAACGTCCCCGATAACTGCCAAATTTTTCAGTGAAATTGGAATTTTTATATTTATAATGCGCACTTGCAATTAAGTATTTGAAAGTGATTTTAAAAACGTTGCGAATCTTCAGCATGGAAGCGCGATGGTGGAGATTTGAAAGCTGGTTGCATATATACATATATACACAAAAATCAGTAACTGTCGGCAGATCTGTTGACCTACTTAAATTACAGACTGATGAATACAATAAGCTGTTCCTGAAAGCCAACCCATGCCAATTTTTATTAAAATCAATTTTTTATATTATGCTTCAAACACGCTAACCTCTCCCCTTACGGTGCTAGACTTTTGTTGGATCATATTTTGCTGATATTTTGAAATCTAAATTTCTTTGGCTTTTATGAAAACATAAAATATGATGAAATGCTGTACAATATAGATGGAAAAGCCCAGAAAAAGCCCCAAGTTTTCCAATCATGGATTGCATTAAATTAAAAAAAAGGTGCAGCGTGCTTCCAAACAGCACTTCTTAAGCTTTTTCTAATTGCATACTATTATTGATTTTTTTTCTAAAGCTCTTTTTTTTAATTATCCCTTATCCCGCAAGATAAACCAAGCCTTAATATTTTAATAACAATTTTATTTGAATCAAAATTAAATGAAATGAAAAAAAACTTACTCATCTTTAAAATTTCCAACGCCTCTGCAAGTCTACACTCAATGCTACAGTAACCGGCGGCTACTCGTATACAGGCTCGAAAAAACGATAAAAAGTCTAGCTTCATTTTAGTAGAGTTTTAACATAAAGCGCGCATGCTCCACGGAGGTACTCAGGGTTGGACCCAGGGAGTTGAGAACCTCTGCTAGAGTAGACCATCAGGCCATTGTTTGGCTGTTAAACTGATACAGCCAAAAGAAGTGAATTCTTTAAGAGGCTTGAAAATGGCAAGCAAGCCCTCTTTGGCATTTTCTCTCTACCATAATTATTTTGCGCTATTTCTCAATGCAGATTCCATTGTGGCCATAAATATATTTTTCTAAAATTAATATATTATATTTTTGATAAAAAATATTACCCTTAATTTCCCAATGTAAGATGGTTTTGGGTTTGTGGGTTAATCTTAAAAATACCACACTTCAATTGCATGCAGTTTTGATATGAAGGCTTTTTAATATTTATTTTGCAATATTCGAAACGAAGAAAATCAAAACTAAAAGTGTTGCGCGCCAAGAACTTTCTTGTTGGTGAATTTTTATTTGAAATTATAACTGGACAGAGGTGCCGCAGAGAAGCATTTTTTGATAAAGAAGAAGATTAAAGACTGATTTTTGTGAGTTTTTAAAATAGAGAGTGTTTGCACAGTTTTTACTAAAGAGCTATTAATTGTATATAACGTTGGGTGGTGCCATCGCTGTGGTGTAACCACAGGGACCTTTAATTATTGTATTGCAGAAGAAGAACTTTAATTGTACAAATCTTATAATTATGTAACCGCGCGCGTTAAGGCCATTTAGTATATTAACCAAAGCTGAGCACAACCCTTAAGTTCCCGCCCCGCGCGCCACGCCACCACCAAGAACTACGACCGCCGCGCTCAGGGCGCCACCTGAGTGCCCAAGCAGACGCTTCCTGGACTCGACTGAGTGTGGTTGTAATGGTTTCCCTTCCCGCTTTAAAAGGTATTGCTTGGCGCCCACGCTAGATAAATTCCGAACTGAATATCCTTTTAAATCAGCTTAATCCGTTCACTAATTCAGTCCGAACCTTAAAACTCAGCATTTGAATATTAAATCTAATAGTAATTCCGCATTAGTTTGGCCAATTATTGTTTAGTTTTAAGAATAAACCATCACTTTATTTGTTATTGTTAATTAACTTGTTTACTTGAAATATCAATTAACCCTTTTTAGTTAGAGCACAAAGATAAAAGAGTAAAAGCATTAAAGGCCAATTAGAATTAAAGCCAATTTCCATGAGGCCGCCAAGTTAAGTCAATTAATTAATTAAGAAGCACGTTCGAGTCCGGGAAAGTCTCCAGCTCTGCGCAAGTGAGAACTTCGGGGAAAAGTCCTGTCGAGAGTCACGACAGATTTGGTGTCAGGTGTGGGGTGTGTTTTTTTTCCAAATTAACGCACCCTTTGGAACGTCCCGCGCACCCTGGCCAGCCCAGAGAGCACGGTACTCTCCCGTACCCTGTTTTCGCCGAAGTTCTGAGGATCCGAGACCGACCGTGACAAGCCTGGTGCCATCGACAAGAAGCGACCGCTGGATCGAGGTGCACCGAAAGTTAAAAGAGGCTGACGGAAGGAGAGCGCCTTAAGAAGCACCTTGCCGATTTTGTTCACGGGAAAACACAGGCACACTGCTGTAGAGCGCGACCAAGAAAAACGCAGAGCTGTTAATTTAAGGTATCTCTTTTAAGTTGTAATGGATCCTATTATTTAATTGGGTAGAGTGCTTTTTGTAAATATCAGCCTTAAGGGCGTTTTGCAAAGGTGCACTTCATGCCAAAAAGGAACTCGGAAATTGAAAGTTAAAAGTAATCAGCAAAGTTGGGTTAAAAACGCGAAAAGTTAAATTAGAGATTGGGTGATAATCCTCTAATTGAGAGAATTTTTTTTACAAAGAAACAAATAAAATGGTCCATTGCTAAATTTTATTGTTGTGGCTCAATTTTTATAAATAAGCGAATAAATTTAAGAAATTTTGTAATATTGTACTCACCAATTTGACCATGGAACCTCTCACCTCGTCCGAGTTGGTCAACAGAGATATCCAACCAGAAGACCCACAGTCCATCGCCATTCGAGCTCATGTCTACCAGTTGATTGGCATCTACAAAGCAGATGGCAGCCTGTCCTTGAAGAACTTCATCCACAGTGTTGAGCGGGTGAAAATCGCCTTTCCAAACACCCGAGATGCAGAGCTTGTCCGCCTTGCTGTCAGCAACACTGAAGGCGACGTGTTCCGGTTCGCCAGCAAGCTCAACTTGGACGCCCTCTCACTCCAAGACCTGAAGAAGGCGTTGGCGTCCGAGTTTGAGCAGCCACCCAGCTACTCCGAGGCCAAAGATGCGTTTGATGGCCTGGAACAAGGCAGCAATGAGTCAGTCGTCCAGTTCTACCGCCGACTTGTCAATGCAGGGGAGGTGCTCCTCAGTGCCCTGCTCGAACGAACCAAGTACAAGGAGGAAACACGACGGTTCTTCCTGGAGGAGGAACTGAAGCACCGATTCTTTGAGGGGCTCCGCACCGAGTTTCAGCAAGCAATTGTTTATTCAAATTCAAATCACCTTTCCAGCATGAGGGAAATTGCAGAAAATCAAGAGCACTTCTTGCGGCGAACCAAGCTCCGGCGTGAGCGTGAGGAGCAAGCTCAAGCAGCTGAGGATGAAAAATTGCAGCAGCAGCAGCAGCTCTTGGGATACATTCGCCAGCTGAAGGATGCTGTCTTTGGTGCCCCCAACCACCAGAGCACTCTCATGCAAACCACCAGCAGTGTGGTGACGTCCAATATGTGGCAGAGCAATCCAGCAGCACCGTCAGTCTGCCCCGTTCAGCCTCCGAGTGCGACCATCACCTCCGTGTGTGGCTCCACGGTGGGAGCTACACTGCCGATCACCAACGGCCACCCTCCAGCAACCAAGGAAAGCCTGCAAGAAAAGAAATGTCACAAGTGTAAACAGAAGGGACACATGGCGAGGAACTGCCCAAACGTGCCTTGCCAGCTGTGTTCCAGGAAAGGACATCGCTTTGGCCGGTGCCCCGAGCAAAAGTGCACATTCTGCTCAGCCCGAGGGCACCCGGCCAAGAGATGTCCAATCCAGAGGGCTTTGAGAGGCAACAATGGTGCAGCCTCACTCACCTCTTAGCCTTCGTCAAGCTTGTCGTGAATGTCCGCCACTGCCGAGCAACTCGATGGGCTCCCTCCATCGGAAACCAAAGAAAGGCTCCAGTGTGCTTGGATGCCAACCTCGAGCAACCCCAAGGTCCAAGTAGAGTCATCTCATCCCACCAGAAGAGAAGACCGACGCAAGAGTCTTGTCGGGAGGCCGTAAAAGCTTCTTGACGAGCAAGAGATATCCTGAAAGAATGTGAAAATTAGTATGTGTGAATTTTTAATTTTAAGGCAAGAATGTAATTAAAATTAAGAAAGTGAATTTTAAAAGTAAATGAAAATTAATTAAATATTTTGTGAAATGATAAAATGTTTTAAAAGCAAATGATGAGCCACAGCAAAAGTTAGAATTTCCCCAATTATAATTAAGATTTAAGATATAAAATGTCAAAAAGTTACAAGTTAAAAAGGAAAACAAGATTGTTAAATGTAACACAGTTGAATTTTGTCCAGAAAAAATTTGAGAATTGATTGTGTAAAATTGTGTTTTGTAATTTTAATTTAAGGAGGACAGTATTATGATTTCAATGATTATGTTTAACTTTAAATGCAAGGAATTAAGTTAGGCCAGCATAAATTAGAAAAGTAGAGAAAATTTAAAATAAGAATTGTGTTTTGAAATTATGTTTACGTTGTGAGATAAGAGTGCTTACAAATCGCGACACTTAAATCTAAGCTGTGTTTTAAAATTGTTGTCAAAATGTTAGAATAATTATATGTGCGAATAGTTCAAGCTCACCTCCTACATTCGTCGGCACTGTCGGCAAGCAAAATCGTGTCGAAAATCATCGCCGCATCGACGAGTGCAGTTCTCTCATCGCCAATTTGTTTATGTTTTGTTTTGGTACCTTTCCTCCTCCCTCCACCGCACCGCTGTTCGCTGCCCTGTGCGTGACGTCACGCCTCCCGCAGGAGCGAGCAGGCAAGAAGATGAGGAAGAAAGAAAACGCTCGCACAAATGTAGCGCGGGTTGCTTACCACCTTCATTCATGCTGCTTTTTAGCTATTTAATCCAGTGTGAGCAATTTCGTGCCAAATTTTCTTAAGATTAAAATGTTAAAAATCATGTTAATTTTACGGATAAATTAAATTTGTAATTTAAGAAATTAATTTAAAAAAAAAAATTGGTTTTAAAATACCAAAAGTGGCAATTATAAATTAATAATATGTTAATTAAGGAACAAAATTTAAAATTTTCGAAAATTGTAATTAAAATGTAAGTTCACTGTTTGCGAAACATATTTGTCTATGAATCTGTCCGAACAGAGAGCAAAGGTCACAGATGCCGAGTTGCTGATTTGAGGGCAACCTGGATGACGCGCGCGCTGAGAACCAATTCTCACCACCCTGAGAACCTGCAGCGGAGCGCAAGCCTGTCTGAGGGACCCGATGACGAACAACCCCATTGTCTCGGACGCCCTCGGCCCTCGAGAGCACTTGCGCAGCTTGTTCGAATGCTGTCAACCTTGCGCCCCAGACTGACCCTGCCGAGGACCCGGGAGGACAAAGAAGTTACGAGTCACGAGGGCGTGACTCAAATTTGTCGGGAGGCAGTCTGTGGTGTAACCACAGGGACCTTTAATTATTGTATTGCAGAAGAAGAACTTTAATTGTACAAATCTTATAATTATGTAACCGCGCGCGTTAAGGCCATTTAGTATATTAACCAAAGCTGAGCACAACCCTTAAGTTCCCGCCCCGCGCGCCACGCCACCACCAAGAACTACGACCGCCGCGCTCAGGGCGCCACCTGAGTGCCCAAGCAGACGCTTCCTGGACTCGACTGAGTGTGGTTGTAATGGTTTCCCTTCCCGCTTTAAAAGGTATTGCTTGGCGCCCACGCTAGATAAATTCCGAACTGAATATCCTTTTAAATCAGCTTAATCCGTTCACTAATTCAGTCCGAACCTTAAAACTCAGCATTTGAATATTAAATCTAATAGTAATTCCGCATTAGTTTGGCCAATTATTGTTTAGTTTTAAGAATAAACCATCACTTTATTTGTTATTGTTAATTAACTTGTTTACTTGAAATATCAATTAACCCTTTTTAGTTAGAGCACAAAGATAAAAGAGTAAAAGCATTAAAGGCCAATTAGAATTAAAGCCAATTTCCATGAGGCCGCCAAGTTAAGTCAATTAATTAATTAAGAAGCACGTTCGAGTCCGGGAAAGTCTCCAGCTCTGCGCAAGTGAGAACTTCGGGGAAAAGTCCTGTCGAGAGTCACGACAATCGCCATCTAAAGAAATTTTTACATCAGCACAAGCACAATAAAAAGCAACCAAACCAAATTAACTTAGTGGCAAGTTCACAGATGTGAAAAAAATTCCCGTTATTTAGGCTGCGTGTCACGGGAGACTCATGAAGATGGAATACGCAACAAAATTCAGATGAAGATGGCCGACTAAGATTGTTAGACTTTTTTGTTGCGCCGCCAAAAAAAGAAACAATTCCTTTGCTTTCGTTTGGTACAAATTTTAATATTATATAATAGCCCATGGTTAATATTATTTATACACTAGTTAAAAATAAACCGCCTTTTGCTTTGCGATAAAATTATCCTCTTCCATATACTTGGGTTTACCGCGGTGGCTGAGTCTCTTTTGATGTCGCGCGTTTTAGCAGACATCTGCTACTTGTTCTTCTCTTTTTTCCCAGTTGAAAATTTTTAGTATTATGACATTTATGACCGAGAAGAATAATCATAATAATAATAATATGCCTCTAATTTTTTTTTTATAGAAATTTCTGCGCAGCTATAGGAAATGACCAAGATAATATATATAAATATTATATTTGAATTTAATATATTCAATTAAATTAAAAACCACTTACTTCACTGTCTTGAAAATGACGCTAAATTTCAAAACCTTGCGCTTTCTTCGGCCGCAATTGAATTTCAACATAGCAAGAACACCACGTACCTACAATAAATGCTTCTCACGCAAGGCGTTTTGGTTCCAAACTCCTCGTTCTCGCGGCTTGCAGCATGGAGAGCCAAAAAATTACATGCCTACCTTCGTATTCCCCCTATCGCGGCTACACAATTCGCGCATGCTCCACGCTCTAAAATCCAAAAGAAGAACCTCTTGGATAAAGTCAAACATATTTTTTATTAGGCTCTTATGATTAAACTCTGTAGTCGCAAGAGCTGAAAATGGGCAATACAAGAAGAGAGCCCCCTTTTCTCCTTACCAGTTTCCATTGTGATTTTCTATTTTCTATAAAATCTTGATCAATTTGGCAGGGCCATTTATTAGCACTGTGGAATCTAAATCCTTTAAGATGTTGATTTGATTTATTTGATGAAAATTAAGATTTTTCTAATTTCTTTTCACTTTTTAGTACTTTCCCGAAAAAATAATATTTATTGAATCTTTAAATTTTTTTATTATTTCAAGAAGAAAATATGTAATAATAAACTTGGCACTCGTAAAATAACTAAGGTTTTTTGTGTGTCCAAACTAAGAATTCTCAACGCTACTTATTGTTAATAATTTTGGCCGAGGCAACTATAAAATGAGAATCGCATTATACCAGAGCGGTGAAATCCATTCCGCCAAAACGGTACTTGGTGGAGGTCAAGAAAAGGTCGCCCGAATCGCAACTTGATAGAAAGGAATGGCAGCAGGCGGTGTGCGCTCTCCTACCAAAACGTGCAAACAAAACAGCTCCGACGACTCACTATAGAAACGCCATGGCTTGGATATTTTATTTTCTATCTTTTGAACACTCATTTTTCTTGCCAATATTTGAAAGAATCAACTCTTTACAAAAAGCTGACCATTATTAATTGCCAGCTGCTCCAATGGAAAAAATTATAGAGAATTAAATTGGCTATATTTTTTCTGCAGGCCTCGTACTTTAAAAACATTTTCTCTATTTATATAAAATTGGAAATACACAATGAGAGTTATAATGATTTATTTCTCATAAAAATTTTTTGGTTCAAGATAGCTATTAAATTGGAAATTTAATTTTGACTGTGGAACTAAATTTAATATGAAAATATTCAGCCGTTTTTCAAATTGTAGCTTTTCCAAAACGCGCCACTCGTCTTCTTCATCTGCAGTTGGAGGCGCCGTTACATATTATTTTCCTATATAAAAACGGCTGAATATTTTTAGTTATGAAAATTGAGTTTTAGAGACTAGAGTTAAAATAAAATTTTCAATCGATCGGGCTACCTCAGAAACAAATCTCTTAAATTTTTATCTTTTGTGAAAAGAAATATTGTTTATTTTGAGCCCCCTGAGGAAAGTAAAATAAATTATGCTTAAAAAGTAAAATGATTAATTCTAAATAAAATTGTCTTATAAAAATTCAACCCTATTAAATGTTTAAATGACCCAAGGGCTGAGGAGGCTCGACGTTGGTTTGGGAGGTTGTTGGATCGATTCCCGCTTTAGGAGTACTTTTTATTTGAGTGAAGGTAAAGGGACTGATACTGATGTGGTAGAGAGCAACATGGAGAGTTGGGAGCAATGGTTAAATGTTCTTTTTATTGTTTTTTTTTAATTAATAAATTAATTTCATCCTCAATTTTGCTCCGACCAATCAGCGCCCTCCGTTCTTAAAAAATCATCAAGCTAAAGCGAGGAATCGAGTCATCAGTCATCGAGCTCTTGTTGCATCGAGCCAGCAAGAGAGTCGAAAATAAACAAATCAAGAAAACAGCTGAAGAAATTCCAGATTACGGAAAAGGAAGAGGAAATTTTGGAAAATGGACACCTCAAGGCGATATAAACATGATCTAGATAACAAAAAGAGTTCAAAGAACGAACGGGATGTTGACAAGAGAAGGTAAATACTAATGATTACATACATAAATTTAGAAATTAGTTTCCTGGTTTATAATTTTTATTTTATTTTAGTAATCTGTAATTTTTTTAAATTTAGAAATCATTCTCCAACGCGTAGTAAACAAGAGAGGTCGAGGAGACGGTCGAGGTCCTCGTCAGACTCCGAACGGGAAAAGAGAAAAAAGGACAAGAAAAGCCAAAGGTCCAGTTCGAAGTCGAGCAAGAAGAAAAAGGAAAAACGCAAGAGAAGACGCATCAGCAGTTCCTCCAGCAGCTCGAGTCAGTCCTCAGCCGCTTCGACCAACAATGGGAAACTGATGAAGAAACTGGAGGTCCAAAGACTGATGACCTTGGAGGAGAGGAAACGCCACAAGGAGTTGGTCAAAGCAACAGAAACTCCCGAAGAGAAAAGACTGCGGAGGCTGCTGAAGAAGGAGAACAAGGAGAGGAAGCGCAAGGAGCGCATGGGTTGGGACAACGACTACCTGCACTACACGAACACGGACAACCCGTTCGGCGACGCCAATTTGCTGTCAACGTTCGTGTGGAAAAAGAAACTGGACAAGGCGGGGCTGAGTGGGGCCTCCAGAGAGCAACTCGAGGTCGTCAACCGCAGCAAGCAGGAGGAGAACAAGCGCGAGTTGGAAAAGGTGAAGAAGCGGAGGCAAGAACGGGAACTGGAGCGCCAACAGCGCGAGGACGAAATGCAACTCATCCAGAGGCAAAAAGAAGCGGCCCAATTTCAGGCAAAATTTTATAAAAGAAATTTAATACGATTACTCAAAGATATAAAAATTCCAGGAGTGGGAAAGGCAAGAGGACCAGTTTCATTTTGAGCAGGCGCGTTTGCGGTCCAAAATCCGTATCCAGGACGGCAGGGCCAAGCCCATCGATTTGCTCGCGAAATATGTTCAGTCCGAGGATGATGTCGATGCAGTCGAGATGCACGAGCCTTATGCCTATCTCAACGGACTCACCATCAAAGACCTGGAAGATCTCATAGAGGATATTAAGGTATGCTAAATTTGCAAATTTTCTATATTTTAATTTTTTCAACTCCTGCAGGTTTATCGTGAGATCGAAAGAGGACAAAACTCCGAGTTCTGGTCCGACATCACCGTAATTGTCCAGGACGAGCTGCACAAGCTGAGCAAATTGGAGGGATCGGCTGAAAATGAATTAAGTATGACTTCCTGCTTCTTTTTTTTTTGATAGGCAAATTTCTGATTTGTCAAATTATTTCAGCAGTTGGGCGTCGCGAAGGAATCCATCAGTCGGTGGCGAAGGAGGTGGCGTCCATTTTCAAAGGAAAAACCGCAGCCCAGTTGGCAGCAATCCAAGTGCAGATCGAGTCCACAATCAATAAGAAGGCTGAAGGTGTTGACATTGGCTATTGGGAGTCCCTCTTGTCTCAACTGAAAGGTATTGAAACTTTAATTTTAAATTTATTTTCACTCATTTTTAAAATTAGCTCACATGGCTCGAGCAAGGCTCAGAGACCGACACCAGGCAAATCTGAGGAAGAAACTGCAGATTTTGAAAGAGCAGCAGGAAGTGAAGGAAGAGCCGGAGGACGATTACGAAGAACCTTCTACATCTACTTCAGCCCAAATAGAAGTGCCAGAGGACCAAAGTGAGGACAGCAAGGCGGCAGACAATGAGGCAGAAGAGGAGGCCAGGTAAAAAACTTCAATTTATTTTTTATTTAATTTGAGTAAAAGCTGAAAGTAATGAACTAAGAGAAAAAAGAGGGGGAATTTCCTGTTTTTTCTTGATTTTTTACTTTTTATTTTAATTAAAATTAAATTAAAGCACAAAAATGGATCCCAATTTTGGAAAGAATTTGTAAATAATTAATTTTCAACTTTTTTTTTCATAAAAAAATCATTAATAAATTTGCAGTGGCGAAACTGCCGAAGGGCAAGAGGCAGACCAAATGCTGAATGATGCGTTTGCTCAGTACGAACGGGGAAGTTACAGCCCCAAATATTTGGGTCCGGCCGCTCTTGATGCTGGAACTGTGGTCATTGCCGAGGAGGACGACGAGCAGCGCCTCCAGTTCGCAAGACAAAAGTTGCTTGGAAAAGGCAGCGTCAAAGTGGAAGAAATTTCGGCAGAGGAGCGGGCGCTGCAGAAGGAAGCCCGGATTGGGATGACCAATGAGGAGGTCCAGTTTTCAGTCGAGTCCACTTTGGAAAAGGAGGTTTACTTGTGGTCGGACAAGTACAGACCCAGAAAGCCCCGATACTTCAACAGGTAGTTATTTTTAAAATGGAAATTTGAAAAAAAGATTAATTGATTTGTTTGCAGAGTGCACACCGGGTTCGAGTGGAACAAATACAACCAGACCCATTACGACATGGATAATCCCCCCCCAAAGATTGTTCAGGGCTACAAATTCAACATTTTCTATCCGGATCTGATTGACAAGAACGCAACTCCTCAATATTTTTTGGTAATTTTATAAATAAATCAGTTTTTTTTATAAATTAATATTATATTAAGTGAAGAGGACATTTGATTGATTGGTTTTTTATTATTATTTTCAGACACCTTGTGGGGACAATCGAGACTTTGCCATTCTGCGTTTCCACGCCGGACCGCCGTACGAAGACATAGCATTTAAAATCGTCAACCGAGAATGGGAATATTCGTACAAGAGAGGTTTCCGTTGCCAGTTCCACAACAACATCTTTCAGCTTTGGTTCCATTTCAAGAGATACAGATATCGTAGATGAACAATCTTGTTGTGGCTGATATTGAAAAATTTCACATATAAATTAAAACTATTTTAAGCATTTATTGTTTATATCACAAATTTCCTAAAGCAGTCTCAAATTATGTAAATCACTGGCGACGATTTGCGCTATTTTTAGTTGCTAGCCACGTATTTATTTTGCTCTCAGTTGTGTTTGGCCGAAGCTGCCATAATGTCAGTGGTGGGATTAGTGGTTGTGGTGGTCGGCGCGGGAGTACTTCTAATCCCTCCGGTAATTGGCTTGCACGCTCTGTTGACTCTGCTGATCGTCACGTAAAATGCGTACGCCAGGTAGAGAATGGCAAAGACGAGGGCCAGACAGCGCAGGCGGCTGCGGGGTCGACCGGCCTCCATCAGCTGCTTCAGGTTGAAGGTCTGCTCGTCCACGAACTCCGAGTGCAGGTGGCTGTCGCGACCTGGATCGAACACTTCGTCCCAGTGTGCAGATGGTTTGTACAAAGACCATCTACGAAATAGTAAAAAAAAGAATAAATAAAAATTTAAGATAATATTTTGTAATTTGTATTAAAAATTAAATACAAAAATAGTGAGAGTCACAAGTTTTAGATAGAAACATGATGAAGCAGCTTTCCTGATTTTTTTTTCTAAATTTATTTTTAATGTAAAGTATTTTTGAAAGAAAAAAAAATCAAAAAAGGTTTAAATATGTATGAAATTGGAAATTATAATACAAAAATTTAAAAAAATATGAAAATAAAATACAACTTTTTCTCGTGAAATTCAAATTATTATAACGTGTGGCCTTTTCAGGGCCAACTTTAATAAGATAATAGGCAATTAAAGTGATTTTTACCTCGAGTCCGCGTGTCCATGCAAATCGATGGCGACGCTGCTTCCGGACGGCGAGTCGGCGGCGTGGAATCGGCGAGACGCGTCGACAGCGGCGGGGCTGGGGCTGCGCGCCTTCAGAGAGCCAGGGTCGCTGTTGTGCCTCTGCAGACCACAGGTGTAGGTGGACGACGACTGGTGCGGCAGTTCGCGGCGGTGGCACTTGAGGCTGCCCGGACAGCTTCGGGTGTTTTCCCAGGAGGCGCCTGGCGTTTGGCGCCCGCCCGCGCTGCTGATGGAAGAAGTCGAGGCTTGGCGCCGCCGGTTCACTCGGCGCAGCAAAAGTCGCATTCCCTCCACCTTCTATAGCCAAGAGTAAAACATTTTTTTCTAAATTCAATTTGTGTAAAAAAAAAATAATAAGAAAATAACAAAATGGGATTTTTTAATTGAACATGAATCAATGCGTAATTAAATAAAATAAATCTTTAAAATAGTTAATCGTAGAATTATTAATATGAAATGAAAATATTTCATTATTAATTAAACGCACTTGTCAATTTTAAACAATAAATCACCTAATTATTTGCTCTCCACTTTTCTTTTTCCTGCCGAATTTGAAGTGCGTCTTGTTCCCCGCAACCGCTTCATGAGCTCCAAATAATTGGAAACGTTTTTTGCAGTGAGGGTGAAAAAAACCACCTTTATTCGAAGGCAGCAAAAAACCAACTGGCTCTCGATCGCAGATATAGTTTGCTCTAGTTTAGGAATTGGTGCGGCTTCCTCCTCTTGTTTTTCTCATCCAATTACATACTCTCGCTCGATCACCAAAGCTCCATGCGCTGTTCAGATGATGAGACACAAAGTTATCTTCTGTTATGCCATTTGTTGCCTCAGCCTTAATTGGTGCCAACCTTGGGCACTTAGCGTCCTTAATTTTACTTGACACACAAACGGTTTTTTAGTGTCACGAAAGTAAAAGAAGCAAAATTTCATTATATTCTTTAAAATTACAATTTATCAATGAAAATGAGAATCATTGAACTATTTTGGGACTATTTAGATTTTGAGCCTTCAGCCTAATTGTTTGAATATTTTAAAAAAGAAAAAAATACTCATTTTTTCAGCACTTTCACAAGTTTTGATTTATTTATTACAAAAAGTAGCCTGGTGGCAACTTTTGGTGTGCACCTCCAGTCGTTCAGGCAGAAACGTGCGCCCGCAGCCTCCGCAAGGCACCAACTGCTCTAAATGAGACTCGTACATGGCGCCAAAGTTTTCCTCTCGCTCCAACACATCTGAAAAATAAATTTTTCACTTCCATTAAAATGTGTCTTAATTATTCACATGTTGGAACTTTTGGGATTGTTTTGTATTCGATCTGTATATGAAAAAAAAATAACGCGAAATAAGGGGAAAAAACTGAAAAGTCCCGGGAAAGTTTGCTTATCACGCTTTTTCCTCATCTTTTCCAACCGATTTAATGATTAAATGTTTGCTCTGGAAATCATGAACAAAAATTATTCGATTTGAATAGCGAAATAAAATATCTACGAGTTTATTATGTGACAAATCAATGTCATAAACTTTAATTTGAAATCGTGCGCGACCGAAACACGTCAGATTCAATAAAATTCAACCCAAAAAGTGTAACTGACCTTGATTTTTTAACTGACCCCGGCTATGTCGTTTTAGGCAGGGGAATTGATTTTCTCACTGTGTGTTTGTGCCGCGCAGGTTCCCATGGTGACTAATTTATTAAGGCAAATGCGTGTAAATTTTTACACTGGCGGGCGCACGATTGCTGGGAATGAAACAAAAAAATAGAACGAATGAAAAACAAACAAGCTCTTGCCCTAGTTAAAATTTTTTCGGTTTTCAGGTGAAAAAATAAACTTTTAGTAAAAGCAGCATTTATTATTTTAACCAAAATTACTCAAAATTGTTGCCAAAAAAGTATATTTCAACAATTTGAAAGTTTTTCTTTAAGTTTTTTAGTGGAAATGTTAGATTTTGAACCTGTAAAGTGATTTTGAGGGGGCCTGGGCTCCGGTTTGCGTTGCTCCTGGGGAAGTTTTTCATTGTCTTGCCGCCACTTGCGCAGACAAATGGGCTCGTGCAAGGGTAGACTTAGGGTGGCGAACGACCTCCCACACAAGTAACACTTTGTCTCTTGTTCCAAGTGGTTCAATCGAGGGGTGTCTTCCCTAATTTTCGACGGCTCCAGCTCGCGATTCAGTCGACGTTCAGAGAGTGGCCTTTTATTGCCAAGGGTTGACGCATCGAGTTTCAAATTTTCCGACTGCAACAATAAATAATGCAAATATCTATTTAAAATAGCAATTCTTAATATTCTACTTTGATAACTATCACTTTATCATTCAGCACAAAAGGAACTTAATTCTAAAGTAAATATGGCGGTTCCAATTTTAACACAAAATCTCTATTAATTTTACAAATAATTAGACAAAAAAAAAAATAGTTAAATATGTCTTTTTTAAACGGGAAATACTTTTTCCAATCGAATTTGTTGAAAATAAAAATCTAATGAAAATGGCTCAATTGACTCTTCTTTATTTTTTTTTTACATAGTTTTATTTTATTATTTTTATTGTAAGAGATTAAAGAGATCAAGAAATCGTGAGAATATCTATAATAATCAATATAATCGTGATGGAAGTGGAAATTAAGGCCTTTCTGATGGGGCTACAAACCGAATAATAATAGAAGTGACCCTATTAGCGTATGCAAATTTTAACCTGAAACGACTGCGCGAGTTCCTTTGAATACGGTAGCCGTTTGCATGCTATAATATGATCTCTTGCCTTTTATACCCACTTTGCATTTGTGGGTCGATATTTTGTAGAATCAAATCTTGAGCAATAAAATCTCGTCCAATACATTTTTGACCGAAATTGATGCGGTGAACTTCAATCAAATATGAAATAAATTATCAGTAATATATAAATTTATAGTTTTATAGCAAGATATTTTTCTTCTCTTGGGGTAAATTTTTAAATAAAAAATATTGGAAATTATTCAAAACACACACACTTAAATTCATCTTCACTTCCTCATTGGTAGGTAACAAACTTTGTAAAAGTAAATGTTTTATGTAAATAATTTATTTTTAATTTTTCTTAACAAAAAAAACATGATTCTTTTTTAAAAACTTACAAAAAAATGCAGAAAATGTGCCTAAATTAAGCAATCATTTTAAAATATTTAAGAGGCACTCAAAAAAATATTTTCAACTAACAATTTAATTTTGATTCAATTTTGTCTAAAAATAAGTTGTACCGAAACTTCTTTCTGAATACAGCGCCAGTTTTTTTTATATAGATTTTGCAGATATCGATAAGTATATAATTTTTTTTAAGCGCTGCCAATAATAAATGATTTTAATAATTACAGCATTTTCAGAAGAAGCAAAATTCAAAAGTAAAACTAACCTGCTCGAAGGGGTGTTGTGTGCGTTGGGGCACCTGCAAGTTTGGGTTGAGCTTTTTGGCACCCACGTTGGTCTCGGCGGGCTGCAACACTTTGAGCACCGCCGGCTTCTGCTTTTTACTCTTGGCTAATTTGACTTGGCCGACTTTCTGCAGCTTAATTCGTGGCTGCTTTTCTTCGACCACGACGAACGACCTGGGCGACGCAGCCCGCAAAACGGCCTGTTTTGGCGCGGGAATTTTGCTGACGCCTTTTTGGTCCCTCCTGGGCGAGCGTTTCGGCGAGTTCGGCTTCGTCGGTGGCACCGGTGACGTTTTGGGGCTGAGGGCTGCAGGTTTTGAATTGGGAACTGCGGCAGGTTTGGCTGACGAGGGCCCGAAGAGCACCCCCTGGGGGTTGGGCCTGCAGGGCGCGGGGAAGAAGGCCTGCTTCAGCACCGCGTTCTTTTTCGCCAGGTTCGAGGAGTGGAAACTTGTCGTGCAGGTGACTTTGGACTTGACGCTCTTGTACTTGATGGGCGTCGGTCTCTGCACCGAGCTCTTGAGCGGGGGCCGCTGCTTGGTGCTGGGGGCGGCGGGGGCCGGGTGGCTGTGCAGCCTCTCGGGCAGGTCGTTGCGGCCGCAGCTGCGACACGGCTTCGGCACGCCGTTTTCGCGGACGAAAGTTTTGGCGCGCAAAACAACCGACTTGGCCGGTTCCTCTTCGTCCTCCCAGCTCTCGTCGCCGCTGGAAAGTTTGTGCTTCGGCCTGAGCTGCATGGCGGCGCCCGAGGTGGTGATTTTGGCGAACGCCTTCGGTGGCGCCCGCTGCTTTTTGCACAGGTTGTTGACGCTCAGCAGCGCCTTCCGCGTCAGCGACATGTCCACCTTGGTCAGGTAGCACGTGTCCAGCACCCTGGGCCGCGCGAGGGTGGCCGTCTGCGGCCGCCCTGTGGATTTCTTCTTCGGCCGGTCCAGGTCGGTGCTGCTGCTGCCCTCCGAGTCGGACCTTTGGATGGACTGCTGGACAGTCTGGACGGTCCGCAGCGGCCGCCTCGTTCGTTCGAGCATTTCGACTTTCCACGCTGATGGTCAGCGAAGGACTGGAAAGAAAATTTATTCCCATTTCGAGTAGCCAGAGTGGAAAGTGACGTCAGCGTGTCACGCGAACCCTTTGCTTATTCACATTTATCACATATAGCGTGCGTTTGCGGCCCACGTTGGGTCAGTGCAGGTCACTCTGGCTTTCAAAGCGATCCGCCTCCTGCATCCGATGCCCCCTGAGAATCTCAGGCATAAAAAAAAAAGATTTTGATTGTGTTCACAAAGGCTGAAAACATACAATCGAGTGATAAATTCAGGTCGCGCACGTTTAAATTTGAAGCGAAGGCAAGAAAAGTGAAATTAAGAAAAACGCAATTTATTAAATTTTCCATGGCCAAAACTTGATTTTAACGGCTTAATTGTGTTCACAAAGGCTGAAAACATACAATCGAGTGATAAATTCAGGTCGCGCACGTTTAAATTTGAAGCGAAGGCAAGAAAAGTGAAATTAAGAAAAACGCAATTTATTAAATTTTCCATGGCCAAAACTTGATTTTAACGGCTTAATTGTGTTCACAAAGGCTGAAAACATACAATCGAGTGATAAATTCAGGTCGCGCACGTTTAAATTTGAAGCGAAGGCAAGAAAAGTGAAATTAAGAAAAACGCAATTTATTAAATTTTCCATGGCCAAAACTTGATTTTAACCGCTTAATTGTGTTCACAAAGGCTGAAAACATACAATCGAGTGATAAATTCAGGTCGCGCACGATTAAATTTGAAGCGAAGGCAAGAAAAGTGAAATTAAGAAAAACGCAATTTATTAAATTTTCCATGGCCAAAACTTGATTTTAACGGCTTAATTGTGTTCACAAAGGCTGAAAACATACAATCGAGTGATAAATTCAGGTCGCGCACGTTTAAATTTGAAGCGAAGGCAAGAAAAGTGAAATTAAGAAAAACGCAATTTATTAAATTTTCCATGGCCAAAACTTGATTTTAACCGCTTAATTGTGTTCACAAAGGCTGAAAACATACAATCGAGTGATAAATTCAGGTCGCGCACGATTAAATTTGAAGCGAAGGCAAGAAAAGTGAAATTAAGAAAAACGCAATTTATTAAATTTTCCATGGCCAAAACTTGATTTTAACGGCTTAATTGTGTTCACAAAGGCTGAAAACATACAATCGAGTGATAAATTCAGGTCGCGCACGATTAAATTTGAAGCGAAGGCAAGAAAAGTGAAATTAAGAAAAACGCAATTTATTAAATTTTCCATGGCCAAAACTTGATTTTAACGGCTTAATTGTGTTGGCAAAGGCTGAAAACATACAATCGAGTGATAAATTCAGGTCGCGCACGATTAAATTTGAAGCGAAGGCAAGAAAAGTGAAATTAAGAAAAACGCAATTTATTAAATTTTCCATGGCCAAAACTTGATTTTAACGGCTTAATTGTGTTCACAAAGGCTGAAAACATACAATCGAGTGATAAATTCAGGTCGCGCTCGGTCAAATTTGTAGTGAAGGCAAGAAAAGTGAAATTAAGAAAAACGCAATTTATTAAATTTTCCATGGCCAAAACTTGATTTTAACCGCTTGATTGTGTTCACAAAGGCTGAAAACATACAATCGAGTGATAAATTCAGGTCGCGCACGTTTAAATTTGAAGCGAAGGCAAGAAAAGTGAAATTAAGAAAAACGCAATTTATTAAATTTTCCATGGCCAAAACTTGATTTTAACGGCTTAATTGTGTTCACAAAGGCTGAAAACATACAATCGAGTGATAAATTCAGGTCGCGCACGATTAAATTTGAAGCGAAGGCAAGAAAAGTGAAATTAAGAAAAACGCAATTTATTAAATTTTCCATGGCCAAAACTTGATTTTAACGGCTTAATTGTGTTCACAAAGGCTGAAAACATACAATCGAGTGATAAATTCAGGTCGCGCACGTTTAAATTTGAAGCGAAGGCAAGAAAAGTGAAATTAAGAAAAACGCAATTTATTAAATTTTCCATGGCCAAAACTTGATTTTAACCGCTTAATTGTGTTCACAAAGGCTGAAAACATACAATCGAGTGATAAATTCAGGTCGCGCACGATTAAATTTGAAGCGAAGGCAAGAAAAGTGAAATTAAGAAAAACGCAATTTATTAAATTTTCCATGGCCAAAACTTGATTTTAACGGCTTAATTGTGTTCACAAAGGCTGAAAACATACAATCGAGTGATAAATTCAGGTCGCGCACGTTTAAATTTGAAGCGAAGGCAAGAAAAGTGAAATTAAGAAAAACGCAATTTATTAAATTTTCCATGGCCAAAACTTGATTTTAACCGCTTAATTGTGTTCACAAAGGCTGAAAACATACAATCGAGTGATAAATTCAGGTCGCGCACGATTAAATTTGAAGCGAAGGCAAGAAAAGTGAAATTAAGAAAAACGCAATTTATTAAATTTTCCATGGCCAAAACTTGATTTTAACGGCTTAATTGTGTTCACAAAGGCTGAAAACATACAATCGAGTGATAAATTCAGGTCGCGCACGATTAAATTTGAAGCGAAGGCAAGAAAAGTGAAATTAAGAAAAACGCAATTTATTAAATTTTCCATGGCCAAAACTTGATTTTAACGGCTTAATTGTGTTCACAAAGGCTGAAAACATACAATCGAGTGATAAATTCAGGTCGCGCACGTTTAAATTTGAAGCGAAGGCAAGAAAAGTGAAATTAAGAAAAACGCAATTTATTAAATTTTCCATGGCCAAAACTTGATTTTAACGGCTTAATTGTGTTCACAAAGGCTGAAAACATACAATCGAGTGATAAATTCAGGTCGCGCACGTTTAAATTTGAAGCGAAGGCAAGAAAAGTGAAATTAAGAAAAACGCAATTTATTAAATTTTCCATGGCCAAAACTTGATTTTAACCGCTTAATTGTGTTCACAAAGGCTGAAAACATACAATCGAGTGATAAATTCAGGTCGCGCACGATTAAATTTGAAGCGAAGGCAAGAAAAGTGAAATTAAGAAAAACGCAATTTATTAAATTTTCCATGGCCAAAACTTGATTTTAACCGCTTAATTGTGTTCACAAAGGCTGAAAACATACAATCGAGTGATAAATTCAGGTCGCGCACGTTTAAATTTGAAGCGAAGGCAAGAAAAGTGAAATTAAGAAAAACGCAATTTATTAAATTTTCCACGGCCAAAACTTGATTTTAACCGCTTGATTGTGTTCAAAAAGGCTGAAAACATACAATCGAGTGATAAATTCAGGTCGCGCTCGGTCAAATTTGTAGCGAGTGCAAGAAAAGTGAAATTAAGAAAAACGCAATTTATTAAATTTTCCACGGCCAAAACTTGATTTTAACCGCTTGATTGTGTTCAAAAAGGCTGAAAACATACAATCGAGTGATAAATTCAGGTCGCGCTCGGTCAAATTTGTAGCGAGTGCAAGAAAAGTGAAATTAAGAAAAACGCAATTTATTAAATTTTCCACGGCCAAAACTTGATTTTAACCGCTTGATTGTGTTCACAAAGGCTGAAAACATACAATCGAGTGATAAATTCAGGTCGCGCACGTTTAAATTTGAAGCGAAGGCAAGAAAAGTGAAATTAAGAAAAACGCAATTTATTAAATTTTCCACGGCCAAAACTTGATTTTAACCGCTTGATTGTGTTCACAAAGGCTGAAAACATACAATCGAGTGATAAATTCAGGTCGCGCACGTTTAAATTTGAAGCGAAGGCAAGAAAAGTGAAATTAAGAAAAACGCAATTTATTAAATTTTCCACGGCCAAAACTTGATTTTAACCGCTTGATTGTGTTCAAAAAGGCTGAAAACATACAATCGAGTGATAAATTCAGGTCGCGCTCGGTCAAATTTGTAGCGAGTGCAAGAAAAGTGAAATTAAGAAAAACGCAATTTATTAAATTTTCCACGGCCAAAACTTGATTTTAACCGCTTGATTGTGTTCAAAAAGGCTGAAAACATACAATCGAGTGATAAATTCAGGTCGCGCTCGGTCAAATTTGTAGCGAGTGCAAGAAAAGTGAAATTAAGAAAAACGCAATTTATTAAATTTTCCACGGCCAAAACTTGATTTTAACCGCTTGATTGTGTTCACAAAGGCTGAAAACATACAATCGAGTGATAAATTCAGGTCGCGCACGTTTAAATTTGAAGCGAAGGCAAGAAAAGTGAAATTAAGAAAAACGCAATTTATTAAATTTTCCACGGCCAAAACTTGATTTTAACCGCTTGATTGTGTTCAAAAAGGCTGAAAACATACAATCGAGTGATAAATTCAGGTCGCGCTCGGTCAAATTTGTAGCGAGTGCAAGAAAAGTGAAATTAAGAAAAACGCAATTTATTAAATTTTCCACGGCCAAAACTTGATTTTAACCGCTTGATTGTGTTCAAAAAGGCTGAAAACATACAATCGAGTGATAAATTCAGGTCGCGCTCGGTCAAATTTGTAGCGAGTGCAAGAAAAGTGAAATTAAGAAAAACGCAATTTATTAAATTTTCCACGGCCAAAACTTGATTTTAACCGCTTGATTGTGTTCACAAAGGCTGAAAACATACAATCGAGTGATAAATTCAGGTCGCGCACGTTTAAATTTGAAGCGAAGGCAAGAAAAGTGAAATTAAGAAAAACGCAATTTATTAAATTTTCCACGGCCAAAACTTGATTTTAACCGCTTGATTGTGTTCACAAAGGCTGAAAACATACAATCGAGTGATAAATTCAGGTCGCGCACGTTTAAATTTGAAGCGAAGGCAAGAAAAGTGAAATTAAGAAAAACGCAATTTATTAAATTTTCCACGGCCAAAACTTGATTTTAACCGCTTGATTGTGTTCAAAAAGGCTGAAAACATACAATCGAGTGATAAATTCAGGTCGCGCTCGGTCAAATTTGTAGCGAGTGCAAGAAAAGTGAAATTAAGAAAAACGCAATTTATTAAATTTTCCACGGCCAAAACTTGATTTTAACCGCTTGATTGTGTTCAAAAAGGCTGAAAACATACAATCGAGTGATA